ATCAAAGACCCCAAGAACACAGAAATTTATATATTCATGAGAACTACTGACACAAGAGTGGAACAAGGACTGCAGAGGCATTTGGTTCTCCAGAAGAAAAATTAGGAATCAAATGAGTTTTGAAGGAAAGAAAGGTCTTGGCAGGAGACTCCTCAATTCTTGGGACAAGTTTCTGTTTTTTAATGGAAAAAAAATATGAGAAATGTTGAGTGAGAGTTGTCTGACTAAACATATATCAAGATCTGACCTAAGCATGAGGACTGCCTTTATGGTTGTCAGAGACAAAGGAGATTATCATTCTGCAGCAGTCCCCTACAAAACAGTCAGAATGATTATACCCTAAAAACTCCTTGATTGTAAAGAGAACCTTGTTTGATAACTTTAAATGTAGACCTATACACTTCACTTGCTCAGAATTAGGTGTTACAAGTCATTCTCTCAGTGTCACCCCAACTCAGCCACACCTAGAAGGCAAAGCATTTCAGAACAAGAGTCATAAGACTTAGCACTTGCTTTGTTGGAGGAAGGTGGCTCTTTTATGAGATGATGGGAGGAATCATGAACTGCTTAGTGAAACCATTTCAAGCAGGTGACAAAGTAGTTTCTCTTTCAGAGTCTTAATTCTGCCTTCCAGCTTCAAATCATAGAATAGCTTGGGTTGAAAGATACCTTAAAGATCATGTAGTTCCAGTCCCCTGCCGTGGGCAGGGACACCTTCCACTAGACCAGGTTTCTCAGAGCCCCATCCAACCTGGCCTTGAACACTTCCAGGGATGGGGCATCCATAACTTCTCTGGGCAACCTCCTAAAGTGCCTTACTACCCTCACAGTAAAGAATTTCTTCCTAATATCTAATCTAAACACACTCTCAGTTTAAAAAGCCATTCTCCTTTGTCCTATCACTACATGCCCTTGTAAAAAGTCCCTCCCCAGATTTCTTTTAGGCTCCCTTCAGGTACTGAAAGGCTGCAATTATTTCACCCTGAAGCTTTCCCTTCTCCAGGCTGAACAATCCCAATTCACTCAGCCTTTCCTCATAGAAGTGGTGCTCTAGCCCTCCCATCATGCTGAAATTGGAACAGAACAAGAGCCAGCCTGAACAAATCTCCATCATGCGCTGGAGTAATGAACTGATAATTATGAAAGCCCAAAGGCATCTCTGTCTGCACTGGCTAAACCAAGCAGCTCTTTCTCATCAAATCAGAAAACAGGCTCAATCATAGGGGAGTTTTGCTTCCTGTCTCATTAATTCACTTTCTGTGAAGCCAATATCAGTCTGGAACCCTTTCCAACATATGCATTTCTCACGTTTGTTTTTCTCTGCTTGAGGCAATGGAAGAACAAATGAATGTAATGTGATGATGCTTTTAAGCCATTAACTGCCCAACAGCAAGGAGTTAGAGCTTCTGGGAGAGAAGCATCTCAAAAATGCCCATATTTGGGAGCTTCATCATATAAAATTAATTTAAGTGAGTAGAAGGAGTTGTCCTTTTATTTTTTTCAAGTGTAATACCTAAAGCTGATCTCCTTAATCACTGAGAATAAGGCAACTTAGTAAATGCAAATCTCTCATACTGAATGACTGCTATTGATTTAAAAATGCACTAAGTAATGTAAACTCTTTCTCAATATGATTAAGGCCTTTTACTTCTCATATGTATTGATTTTGGCTATCACTGGGGAGCTTCTAGATCATACAATAGAAACTTTATAGCTTAAGTGAAGGGAGTTAAGTACTTTTGCTTATGGTTATGAAACAGTTCTTATCTTTCATGGTTCAAGCACAGCCAAAGACATGCAATACATGCTAAGAAGAGTTTACATGCAAATATACAGACTGATGAACTCTTAAAGGTACATTATGCTGCCTTTTCTAGCTCTGTACAGAAGTACCTTGAGTGCAGTAAAATAACTTAAAGTTGGTATGAGGGGAAAAATGTTTCAAATGGCATTTATAAATTCAATATAGCATTGAATTTATACAGTTAAGAAAAGTTTAAATTGCTAATTTTTAAAAAATGTAGAATATCTTAAAAGACATTGATTTAATTATTTAAAAGTGCTTCAGTTGCTTGAACTGTTACTTTAATTTAGAAAGCCTTTGAAATATGCAGAGATTTAAAACTCAACAAACTTTTAAAATCGATCAAAAAATTCCTTCTCTTAACTCTATTCTTTCATTAATTAAAAATATTTTTCATTCCAGTTGTTCTAAATGCAATTTTCAGCTAAGAATGCCCATGTGCCTTTGGTTTCAAACCGTAAAGAGCCACAATAATTAAGTAATTTTTATTTTTATTTTGGATCTTTTTTAAAGAAAAAAAAACAAAACAAACTCAGAGAAAAAAACAGTTTACGACCTTTGCAAGAACAGGCAGGCAACTCAGGAAGAGTACAAGGATGTCATTAGGTCACATAGAGAGAAAATTAGAAAGGCAAAAGCTCAGCTAGAACTCAATCTGGCAACTGCTGTGAAAGATAATAAAAAGTGTTTTTATAAATATATTAACAACAAAAGGAATGCCAAGGAAAATCTCTACCCTTTATTGGATGCAGGGGAAAGGGGGGAATGTTGTAACCAAGGATGAGGAAAAGACTGAGGTACTTAATGCCTTCTTTGCCTCAGTCTTTAACAGAAAGACCAGTTATCCTCAGGGCAACCTGCCCCCTGAACTCGTAGACAGGAAGTGGGAACAGAATAGAATGCCTGTAATCCAAGAGGAAGTAGTGACCTACTATGTCACTTAGACACTCACAAGTCTATGGTATCAGATGGGATTCACCTGAGGGTACTGCGGGAGCTGGTGGAAGAGCTTGCCAAGCCACTTTCCATCGTTTACCAGCAGTCCTGGCAAACCGGGGAGGTCCCAGATGATTGGAGGTTGGCCAGTGTCACATCCATCTAGAAGGGTCAGTAGCAGTATCAAGGGAACTACAGGTCTGTCAGCCTGACCTCAGTACCAGGAAGGTTATGGACACAGATTATCTTGAGTGCAATCACACGGCACGTACAGGACCACAAAGGGGATCAGGCCCAGCCAGCACAGGTATAGGAAAAGCAGGTCCTGCTTGACCAACCTGATCTCCTTTTATGACCGAGTGACCCACAGAGCAGATGAGGGAAAGGTTGTGGATGTTGTCTACCTGGACTTCAGTAAAGCCTTTGATACTGTCTCCCACAGCATTCTCTTGGAGAACCTGACAGCCCATGGCTTGGAGAGGAGTAGTCTTCACTGTCTCAAAACCTGGCTGGACAGCTGGGCCCAGAGAGTCGTGGTGAATGGTGCTACATCTGTTGGGGTTCCCCAGGGCTCAGTGTTGGGCCAGTCCTGTTTAACTTCTTTATCAGTTATGTGGATGAGGAAATTGACAGCACCCTCAGTAAGTTTGCAGGTAGCACCAAGCTGGGCCAGAATGTTGATCTGCTGGAGGGTAGGAAGGGTCTGCAGGTGGATAGGGACAGGCTGGATCGATGGGCCGAGGCCAATTGTAGGAGATTCAACAAGGCAAAGTGCTTAATCCTGCACCTGAGTCAAAACAACCCCATGCACCACTACAGGCTTGGAGCAGAGTGTTTGGAAAGTGGTCCAGCAGAAGAGGACCTCAGAGTGCTGGTTGACAGTCAGAATGAACATGAGCCCAGGTGGCCAAGAAGGCCAAAGGCATCCAGGGCTGTATCAGAAACAGTGTAGCCAGCAGGACCAGGACAGTGATCGTTCCCCTGTACTCAGCACTACTGAGGTCACACCTCGAGTGCTGTGTCCAGTTCTGGGTCCCTCATGACAAGAAAGACATTGAGGTACTGGAACGAGTCTAGAGAAGGGCAACAAAGCTGGTGAAGGGTCTAGAGAGTAATTCATATGAGAAGCAGATGGGGTTGTTCAGCCTGGAGAGGAGACTCGGGGGAGACTTTATTGCTCTCTAGAACTACCTGAAAGGAGGTTGTGGCCAGGTGGGTGTTGACCTCTTCTCCCTGGCAACTAGTGACAGGATGACAGGAAATGGTCTCAAGCTGCACTAGGGGAGGTTCAGGTTGGACATCAGGAAGAATTTCTTCACTGAAAGGATTGTCAAACATTGAAACAGGCTGCCCAGGGAGGTGGTGGAATCATCATCCCTGGAAGTGTGGAAGAAACTGGATGTGGCACTTAGTGCTATATAGTTGACATGATGGTGTTCAGTCAAAGGTGATCGGTCAAATGATCTTAGAAATCCTTTCCAACCCTAATGATTCTATGATTGTGTTACCATATCAGGAACTCAGACGTGTTACCACTGGAACAGGTAGACGTGTTTCTTTCAAAGTTGCATTTTTTAGGATTCAGCCCATCTCTCCTATGTTTCTCTTTATAACGGCAACTGGATTCTGTTTTCCTCAAGGCAGGACTCTCTTTCATTTAATCACATTAAAATTAAAAACTGAATATTTTTTGATTGCAACCTGAATGTCATACAAAAAGATAACTCTTCATAAATAACTATTCTGCATTGCTATTTACTGTTAACATGATATGATGTGATCTATAAATGATGTTCTGATTATTAGCAGACTTTACTTTCCAGCTGTAAATACTAAGTACTGACTAAAAGGAATGAAACCAATTAATTTAAAAATGGATACATTACTAGCCTTCAATTAATTAATAACACTGTTTTTACTGACCAGCCACTCCAGGAAGCTTGATAAGGTTCCATGCAGAACTCACTATAAAACCATTGGACTTAAATGGAGAAAAAATCCATAATTTACAGTTCCTAAAAACAACAATAAGTTCTAAAGACAATGGTAGATTTATGGTCTCCTAAAACAGTAAAACTTCTATAGTTATGTGATATAGCTATCGTACATGAAAATTCGTGTAATATTTTCTGGTCAAAACCTCATATAATACAGATTGCTTTCCTGTGTAGTCTTTAAAATCATCTACAACATTTCTCTGTAAACATTAAGTTGTTGAATGATAAAAATCTGACAGTTCTAGGCACTGAAGATTACTCACCCTTGAAGGTCTCACTGCAGTAAAAATTACTGAAAAATGAATCCCTCGTTCCTGCAGATCCATGGTCACTTTTCTGATTATTTTGTCTGTAAATAGAAATATGTATAATTTAACAAACTCTGTAAGATCAGAAAGCTAAAATCCTACAGTAGTTGGAGAAGTAATGAGCTAGATGTTTAAGCTTATTTGCTCTATTTAAGCAATTTAAGCGCTCATACCATTTATAGGTCAATAGGTAAAAGTGGGATGACATGTTCAGTGTCTTGACAAATGCAAAATTTCAGTAAAATAATACCAAAAAAATACATTACAACAGTGCAGAAAAAGGAGTGATTTTGAAACTGAAAGGTAAGTATCATAGAAACAGTACCCAAAAGTTTGAACCTTGGGCAATTGAAAACAAGAGCAGAAGAAATCACTTAATAGATGAGAGCAGGACACATATACTGTTAGTCAAGGGACCAATTAATAAATAAATAATAAAGTTTAAGAAGTATTATTCTGTGAATTACAAAGTATACAGAACCTATCACTGAGAAACAATACTCAAAACACAGTGCTTAGTGTGGAGTATAATATGCATAATATTGGCAACAATATTTCTTTTGGCTTCAGTGGATTTAAAGCCTGATTCTGCACCCTCAGTGGGATACAGAAAATTTTGCTGTTGACTACAGTGGAGGCCAAAGGAGAAATACGGTGGAATATTTCTGGAAAAGGAAGAAGTCTAGTAAGGAAGAGAGGACCTTTCAAAGAAGTCAATTATGTCTCTACAGAAGATCCTCCTTCAGTTCTGAAACCACAGGCAGTTGCAACAAATACTTAAAACTGATAAGTATTTTCAAGATCTATGCAGAAATATTAACATCTGCTTATAATAAGGAGCATAATAGTTGTGAATCATGAACATTATTACTCTTGTTATTTGGACTGCTAGAGAAACAAGCAAGCAGACTCACATTTACTGTTTCAGTGCCTTCCCACTTCTCATCCATGTACCAGACTGGCGAATGGATATTTTATAGCCTGGACACACAGATTTCTCAGGTTTTGAGGTTATATTTTACAGAAATTGTGTTTTATTTTCATGTACTGGAAATGGAGCTTTTATTATTATCCTCTTTAATCTCTTCTATTTACCCTAATTATGGTCTCCTGGCTGAGTAAAATGTTTAGCTTCTGTAAGAATGCAAATGCATTGTTTTTTTCTGCAGGTTTTAACCAAACTGATTGCCTCATACCAGTCAAGAGTCATAGCTATTTAAATTTTCCTTCTAAAAATTATTGTTAAAAGGATCTACTATAAGAAATATACTTATTAGTCAGAAAAACAACTGCTTAACTACTACTACTGTAATTATATTGGTTATGGAGATCTAAGGCATTACATAACATAGATTCATAGATTCATAAATTTTGGAAATTCTCATCAGTCTCAGCTAAAATTTGCAGAAGAAAAAAATAATACTTATAAAAATGCATAGATTGACTTTGGTTTTTTCTTTCATTAAAGAAATCAATAGCTTTCTGAAATAACATGTTATTTGCATTTCACTTCAGAAAGGAGCTACATGTAACTATAGTTACCAGTAGCATCTATAACTCTTGCCTTTGGGAAGATTCTAGGGGCAATTCCTTCATTCAGAGAAGCTTTTGTGAACAGAGTTGATATAGATCTTTGTCTGTGATCAGAACTCTACCTTGCTCATGAAGTATTTTCAAATTCTCCAAGGAAAAGGGCCCAGGTTGTCCACCATACTTTAAAGGCCCTAAATTATATGCCTACACAAGAGCAGTAGTGCAGATTTTGCACTTGGCCATGCAAAGTGGCACATCTTCCCTGATCCACACATCTTTTTCCCAATTAACAGCTAGCTGACACTAACCCAAGAACTGGCATAGCCTGATCTTCCGTCCTCCCACAGGTCACCCATTAACTTTGCTTTTCCAAAACAAAGTGGCCTGAGACAACAGTGGCCTGAGTAGACAGTGTGCCCTGGCCTCCAAAAGGGCCAGCTGTGTCCTGGGTGCATCAGGCAAAGCATCGCCAGCCAGTTGAGAGGGGTGATTGTCCTGCTCTGCTCTGCACTGAGGCGCCCTCACCTTGAATATTGTGTGCAGTTAAGCTAGACATTAAGCTATTAGAGAGTGTCCAAAAGAGGGCAATGAAGATGGTGAAGGGCTTTGAGCGGAAGCCGCTTGAGAAGTGGCTGAGGGCACTTGGCTTGTTCAGCCTGGAGAAGATGAGACTGAGGGGAGACCTCACTGCAATCTTCAACATCCTCACGAGGAGAAGTGGAGGGGCAGGCACTGATCTCTTCACTCTCGTGACCAGTGACAGGACTGGAGGAAATGGCATGAAACTGAGCCAGGGAAGGTTTAGTTTGGATATCAGGAAAGGGTTTTTCACCCAGAGGGTGGTTGGGTACTTGAACAGGCTCCCCAGGAAAGTTGGTCACAGCACCAAGCCTGACAGAGTTCAAGAAGAGTTTGGACAATGCTTTCAGGCACATGGGGCTGTCCTGTGCAGGGCCAGCAGCTGGACTCAATGATCCTTGTGGGTCCTTTCCAACTCAGCATATTCTATGATTCTATGGTTTGGGAAGCTTATTCTACAGTCTGTGCAGCTGTCCCATAAAGAAAAAGCCAATGTTTAGCCAAGGTCAACATTAAGCCAAGGCTTAATGCTCTGGGGACAAGAAAAGAGAACAAAATAACTCCTCTGCCATTCAGAGATGGAAATTCAACCACTTGAGTATAAAACCCATTCATTTTGGAGTACTGCAAAAACATAGAAAAGGACTCACTAATGATTTCAGTACTAAGGTACTTTTTTCTTAATTTCAAAACTCCTTCTGATTTTACACCCCCAGCTCTGAACAGAAACAGTCATTGGCACTAAAAACACTGTTTAATTATCAGCCCACTACACTACACTGTATACCCCCAAAACTACCACGTCAGTGATTTGCAGATCTTATAACTCAATCCCTAATCTAGAGTAGTAAGTGAAAGCCCTGAGAAAAAACGAGATGCCTCTCAGTGCCTCTTTGGTGTATGGCACCTCTTTTTCAACCAGACGCTAGGGAAGAAAAAGGTTTTTTTATAGTGTCATATGGAAAGATTCAACTCTAACATGTAGTCCTTAATAACCACAATCCCAATAAAAGACTTTGATATCAAAGGCAATGAATTGTTTTACAAAGATTAGAAAAACATTTCCTATTCATGTAGACACCCTCTGTTGAGATCAAGGCCTTGGAACTGCTGGGTGAGCCTGGAACCTTCAGCTCCCAGTGTGCAAGGTGAGAAACAAGGAGGCAGTCCAAGCTGCATGGAGACACAGGGTTCATACTTGGAGCACGAACAAAGACCATGTCTGAAGCAGAGATGAATCATCACTACATTTCATGTCACAGAGCCGTATCCAGTTTGGTGGATTTTGAATCAGACACTCAGTATTTCAACACTACGATAATTGTCTGCTTATAAGTACTACAGATGGGGGGGGAGTAAAATCTTTAAATAGTAAAAAGCAAAGACCAAGAACTAGAGTACACAATCAGCTCCAGTGACAACACAGACTTAAATGATGAAATGTTGGTTATATCTTGGTCATATTACTTACCATTTTCAGCAATTGCTTCTAGGGTGGAAATCTCTTTTAAACCACTACAGAAAGAGTGGAAGAAAAATAATTAAAAATCTTTTCTAGGAAAAACAATGAGAACCACAAACGTATGAAGATACTGACTAGTAAAAGCACTACGGTCAGTGTCAGTCCCTCTATCATTCTCTCATCTCCTCCTAATGACCCTTTTCTTCTGCAAAGCCATTAAAAGTACAAGGACCATATCTTCAGCTGATTCCTTAAACCCCTCAAACTTCCTAGGCTACAATCTTTGGGCAGCTTTCTTTTCATTTGGCATTGGCCCCTTGTCTACCATTAGTACATGAGCTCCTTAAGACAAGTATCATGCCTCTTTTTGTGCAGTTATGTGACAGCTAGAATTGCACTTCTTTCGGACACAGATATACGCACCTTACACTGACATGCGTGTCATGCTGTCCAAATGCCCAAGTAAAAGGCTGGGAAGAAGAAAGAGCAGGAGCAGCTGAGCAACTATGACTTATATTTTCTAAATATACATTCACCTGAAGGAACAGTCTCACTCTACCTCTGTTAAATCACAGTCCTCATAGGGCTGGAAATATGAAGAATTATAGCCCACCTCTTCCTTCCAGAGTGATGAAAATCAGTCTCTTTATTCATATTAGCTTCAGGTTTGTCTGTATGATTAGTTGCTTGCTTATTTATTCTGCCAGGTTTTTCTGACCCCTGGTATGCCTTCTAGCAATTAATTCTGCAGGTTAATCATGTGTTGAGTAAAATAATTGAGCCTTTCTGCTAAAAGTGTGTTGCCATTTAGTTTTATCAGCTGTCCCTTTGTTCTCATATAATGAGTCAGACAAAATAGACATGCCTGACTGCCTTGCTCAACATAATTCATCTATTATACCTGGTAAGCTCATCAGGGGACCTTGAAAAACACTGAATTCACCCTTGTAAGAGCCCTGTAAGCTTCTATTCTGTTTTTTGAATTTCCTGAATACAACTGATGTTTGCAAAAGCTCTAAAATTCATGCACACATTTGGGTCAGTTCTGTTTGTGATAAGCTCCTACCTGACAAGTGGTTGTAGTTGAACCACCAGTAAGTTTCCTTCGGATGCATTCACTTCCAGCTGAGACACATCGAGATTAGTTACATTTGTTAACTTCCAATCTCCTGACTCCTGAAGAAAGCTCAGAAGATACCTGGTAGCCTCACAGTCAACAGCTGGCAAAACTAAAGATGAAGGAGAAGACTGAAGAATTTCCTGTAATAAATTTATGAACAGTTTATTTACTTGCTTAATATTCAGTTGCTTAATAATTACACACAAACCTTCTTTTTTTTTTTTTTAAGTATCCTAATTTAATATTCAAGGTGAGGAACCACCATGATAAACATGTGAATTCTCACCAGCCTGATGCTGGCTGCAGCCTGCTTCTGGAAAGGGGCAGTGGAGAGACACTTGTGTTGCTTTTATTCCTGAACATTCTTGCAGCAAGCTTATAGCGCTCAGTTACACCATCTTCTTACTTGTCCTTTCCACACGTGTGGTGTAAGAGGAGAGACAGATGATGTAGAAGTTCTCAAGCTAAGAGTGTACTGGAGATGAGCGCTGCCAAAACCAAAGCTCACACAACCTTCTAACTAGATGCCCTTGTGAGTGACAAGGAACAATGTCAAACACCTCCAGTTCCAGCAGCTTCAGTAAAGAGTCATATTTTGCATAATAAACACTCTGTACATCCTGGTGGTACAGCACATGGTACAGACAAGTGTCTAATTTGTAACTGCTAATTAACAAAAGCTATATATTTCAGGCTGTACAGAGCCTCCAGACACAAAAACAAACAAAGCTTATGTCATGTACTTTCTACTTGAAGTAGAAAAGTAGCTTTGTTTGTTTATAAAGCTCAGGCTAAATTGGTTCAGATGATAAAGCATCAGGGTATCCATCAGCTTGTTTACAATTCTCATAGCTGAGTTTCTGATAAAAATACTTGAGTGAAATGAATTGAAAAACATTCTCATTCTTTAAATTTTAAACCCTCATAGTCAAAAAACATCTTTCCAAAGATTTTTCTTGATAATAAAATTAAATATTTGGGGAAACGAAATACAAGATGAAGATTTTGAAAATTATCAAAATTAATGTACCCCAACTTGAATGTTGTGGTAGGTTGACCCTGGCCTGATGCCAGCTTTGTCACTGCTCTTTTCAACTATACAAGGAAGAGAAAATAAAACAAAAGGCTCATGGGTCAGGAAGAGGTCACTCACTAACTACTGTCACAAGAAAAACAGACTTGACTTGGAGAAATTAATTACAACTTGTTAACATTGCTTTCCCATTTTCTACATTTAAGTCTAGACTAAGTCTGGCACTTAATCCAACATTCAGATATTCAGGTTGTTACAGACTCTTTCTCTCCCTCTGATGCACGTGTTGGAGTGTTGCTAACACTTTCCTACTACTGTTCTTTTTTCCTTTTTGTCTCTGGCTGCCTACCACTTTTTTGACCTGCTTTGGTTCTTTCTAATTGTTCACGTTTTCCTTCCTAGGCAAGGGTTAGTTATTTTCACATTTCTATAGATGCTTATAAGGAAGGATTATGCAGTATTGTCTGACTTGCCAGACTGATAAATAAAAAACTGCAGAAACTGAAATAGAGCAGAAAGCACTGATCTTGTTCACAGGTCTTTGAGTAGCAATTTTAGCACCACCTGGAAGGAAAAGATAAATTTTGTTTTGTTTACAGATGAATTTAGAGCTGAAATTCTGAGCATTTCAATGATTTTGTTTTATTTTCAATATTTTAATCCCTTGTCCCATAGTAGCAGCCAGAATGACAGCAGTCACTTTTTCCAAGGATATATATTAAGTAGATTACTCATATACTGTAGAATAAGATATAAAATGCATCATTACTGAGTAATATCTGAATTGTGCCTCTGCTCCTAACCAATCCTACACTGCCACCTGTCTCAGCATCCAGCCATTGGTATTCAACTGTTTTCCATCTGAAGGGTAGAAACAGCTGGATATCAATTCCTTAGCCTCAGTCATTCTAATCACACACATCTTGATAGTCCATCTTGACATTTGGCAACAGTGCACTTTTCTCTTCAATACCCCTATGTTGCTTTACACATTTTAGGATTTCAGTTACTATGCTTGTTCAAAACACGAGAACTCCAAAAGAGGGTGGAGAATGAAGAGGACTATTGAGAAACACCTGATTTTTCATCAAGTTAATGAAAAGAGGTACAACCACACAGTAGCTAGGAACGGGAGAGGGAGGGGGAGACGGAGAGGGAGAGAGAGAGAGAGGGGGAAAAAGGAAAGGGAAAGGGAAAGGGAAAGGGAAAGGGAAAGGGAAAGGGAAAGGGAAAGGGAAAGGGAAAGGGAAAGGGAAGAAAACCTCTTATTGAACTGTTAGATTGACAGCAGAACTTCCTACACTAAATGCACTATGTATAACCTGTTTATGGGCAGCTTACTCTGATTATGAGCACGTTTACTTTCTTTAGTGTCCCTTCCAGCAATCTCCCTGGTGAAACAGACAAGAAACATCATTCTTGGATGACATATACCACTGGTCAGGGTTTTTTGAAGGTAGGTTTGGGATGACTGTCCACATTTCTAGCCATCCTGAAGTAGCTGCATTAGGATAAATCTGTGCCCAGACTTACTTGTCCTTACTTCAGTGTTATAACTGCATTGATATTACACCTAAGCCATTTGAAGCTTGAATGGAGTAAATTTAGGTCTATCACTAAAAACTTATTGTTAAAATCTTTGTTAAAAACTTATGCATTTGCCTGTAAAAGATCGTGTAGGCCTACTCATGGTTCTGAATTAGTTCATTTGGCATCAAAGTTGATAGACAGTCCTATAATAAAAAATATTAGTTGGGAAAAAGATTCCTGTTTAAGCTGCAGAAATATCTGGAAACCTATGTTTGAAGCAGGCAGGGTCTTCCATGTAAAAGAAATAATTTGATTTTTTTTTTTTTAACTGTATGCCATTTAAAATATTAAAGTATTGTATTTATGTTCTACAGCATTGGTCAACGGGTTATCTGTAAAAAAGAAAAATCTATTTAAACAGATTATGAAGGACATCTGTTTCTACACACAGTGATAACTGCAAAGAAAGTTATAATTGTTTAATTTTAACTTTCCAATTACTATCTATCTTATAAACTCTTACACTACAGGTGTATCCTTCAAATGTATGCATAAAGCTATACATTATGATTTTAATGAAAATTGATCTGATGTTCTTCTGTTAATAAAGTGTATTGCAAATACAGGAAGTACTGTTGAACAAACCTCCATACTATTATGCTGTATAGCGGGAAACATGACACGAGATTTTTTTCCAAGGGTTACAGAACAATCCAAAGAACTAGAGAGAAGAAAACCTGAAGTCCAAGAAAGGGAGGAAGTATTCCAAAGAATTAAATACAGACTATAACAACAAGGAAGGATTATACTGGGGAAAAGCTTGACGTGGTTTTTGCGAAAAGTTTTGCCTCACAATTCTGCTGAAAATCTCCAAAGGAGTCAATAGTCATGCACAATAGGAAGCTCTACCTGGTACCGTCCACTTGGATCCACAAAAGGCAATGACCGCTAAAGAAATGAAGCTGCTTTGGTGAGAGAGAGGCAGTCTTCACAGGAAGGTAGGTAAAGGATAAGTAAAGATACAGCAAGCAAGGGGTAGAAAAAATATATGTTACTGCATTCGAGTTTGTTCTGTTCCATACGTTCATAAACTATCTGGTAAAATGATATAGATATTGAGCTAATGAAATCTACTCATTATGCTGAATTATTCAAGGCAAGGGCTGACTGATAAATTACAGAAGCAACTTATGGTACAACCTCTTGGGCAACAGAATGATTGATAAGATTCAACGTAAATTGATTTTAGCAGAGCACAGAGCGAGAAGAAAACAAACCTAATTTTATCTACACAATAGTAGGTAACAGAACTGAGTGTTACCCTTCAATAATGAAACCTTGAGAGTTGCAACAGCCCTTTGAAAATGGAAATTCAGAGGCTGATAGTGATCAGAATTGGAAAAATAAAATATTAGTAGTGTTTTAGAACAGGCTAGAGAACCAAACATCATGTCACTGAATAAATCTATGATGAATTTTATGTTGATTATTATGCAGTTCTGCGTGTTTCCCTGTCAAAAAATAATGTAATAAAACTAAAAGAAATGAAATAAAGAAAATCAAAACTATACTAGGACCTCTGTATCACACGTGACTAAATAGTACTCCTCAGTCTATGACCACTGAGTGAGGATACGATGGAGTTACAGGCCCACGAATGGCAATGACTTACAATCATAATTATGCTGTTGCACAGCTGGCCACTAATTGGAGTTTGTTACCATACATTGCAGTTCTAAGGAGCTGAGCATTGTCTAGGGAAAACCAAAGCTAATATTAAAGAAAAACAGTTTGTAGGGTAGGTGACTGCTTGACAAAGAAGTTCCCCAAATGCTAATCTTTGTATTTTATTATTTAATTTAAAAGTTGTTTGGGAGTTCAAGAGAAATGATCTACCTATAAGATTCCTTTTGTATTAACTGGAAATAGAATTCTCTTATAGCATACAAACCCACTGATACCAAAAGCTCAAAACAGCTGCTAATGTAGCTGAACAAATCTAATATCTGAAAAATCGCTGAGGTTTACAGGCTTATATCTCTTTTACAAATAACACTTTCTTATTGTAGTACACATGTTGCTACATACACATATACATTCTAAGCGAAATCTCCAGTTTAGGTTTATGAATAAATTTGCATTTCTGTAGTTTGAAAGGAGAATACTTGAGAGACATGGAACTTTTGTTGTAGCTTAACAGATAACTTGTATAATATAGACTGTGAAGGTAAAAAAAAATTGTGATTATGCAGCATCAAAGATTCTAATTTCCCCAATGAGAAAATTCAAACTCAACCTTCACTTTGTCCTGTCCTGTGTGAATATTATAACAATTTTTCATAGCAAGATTAAGAATGGATTTCTTAGCCAAAGTATCTCAAATGAAGTCCAAGTAATATAATAGCAACTGAGCAAATTTTTGTAAATTCTGTTACATCCAATATGGAACTGGATGATTATAAAGATCCTTTTCTGGACCTAAAAACTAAACCCTATGCAATAAAAACTAAACTCTATGCAATAGATACTGACAAAACTCTCTGTATGAGCACCTAGGTGAAAAAGAAATACGCAATTTATACATCTCATTTTCTTTCACTCATGTTACAGCACCTCCCCTCCCCCAGACTATGCTAGAAAAGCATCAAGATTGTAAAGTCCAACAGAACAAATCTAGGAAGTGTTGGAGTTAAGGTGAGTAATTTGTTGAAAAAAAACTTTCCCGTTTTAAAGAATGAGAAAAAATTTCTTAGCTCCAAGACAGAGAGGGGACAGAGGCAAGGTTAGAAAGCAAACATTGGCTGACATTTATTCAGACTGTTGAAAACTTGAGTTTAAATCTTTGCTCTGCCAGAGACAGACCAAAGATTTACTTCAACATGACCTTTTGTTTATCTGGGGACCTCCTCACCAGCCCTCAGTAAGTCTCCAATCCACCCAGCATACTGCCTGATTTCTAAACCCGTTAGTCTCTGGACTCACCTCTAATCTCTACAGTACTGATGGAGTCCTGATTACGAGGCAAAAGAAGGAAGTTTTATATACTTTGATACCCCTTCTCTTAAACATCCAAGGCCTACTTAAATAAGACCACCACATCATTAGGAATTTGCAATGCCATGCATTGCAATGCATTTCACACAGCTGCTGAAATTAAACCAGTTTTGCAGTCAGACAGCAACAAAAATTTGCTCCAGGCACAGCCTTGCAGAGATGTTAAACCCAGAGAAAATAAGGCATACCAGAGAAGTACCAGTGCATCTGCCTGCAGACACAACCACTGATCCTTACATTGCAACCGATTATGACTCCCATTCATTCCTCAGAAAACCCATGTATGTACTCTGAATAGTTGTTTTTTGTTCCAGCATCAGTGCTAAAATGCTGTTATGTGGCAAAGAGATAAAGATCTCCAGTTTCAGCCATGCAAGGAAGATGTGAGATTCTTAATATAGATGTAGAGATAGGTAATGTGTGACTATTTATGTATTTAATTACACATAGTGCTTGCTGTGTAATGCTTGGGAATTTAGCCTTCTTTGTGTGCTCTGATATCATTTACATTAGCTCTGTTCATCCTGCACTGCCTCCAGGAATATCTTTATCACTTCCATGTGTGAACATTTTGTCTAATTGCACTTTGATAAACTGTCATATAAGTACAATCATAGATGCTGTGCCCAAAATCTGTAAACCTTCTCAGTGAGGACAGTAGTTGAAGTTGCTGACTGACTCAGGAGCACTCCATTTTAAATTCTGTGCCTGGAGTTTATTTCAAATTAATCAAGTAGCATTGTATTTATTATAGTATTTATTGATATCTTAATTCAAATATGAAACAGTTAACTCCCTGCATGAGCTTCAATTGCTATGAAAATAAAATAGGTATTAAATTCTGAAAGGAATAAACGATTGATTCCTATAACTTCTTTTCTTCCTGCGGCTTCAAAATAGAATTCTGGGGTCTCAGTCTTGAAGTTTATATTGTTTTTTTCAATAGAAAATTGCAGCATGTTTAAGAACAATTTTGTCAGTTATGATGAATTCTGAAAACTTTACAAATAAAAGAGCTACAAAGCACACATCTTTAAATTCGGTTGATTTCCTATAATATATCTGCTTAAACTGCAAAAATCTCAATAAATAATTTAAATAGAAAAACTTCTGCAATTCAGTTCCATTTTCCCAATTATTGTCTGTTTGCATCTTTCTTACTTGTTTTTTTTTCTTTTAATTTTAAATACTGCATATAAAGAAATAAAAGAGATAAATGCTTGCCTGAACATTTTGAAACGGATTCTTGTTGCCATAGGATTCACTGAGGTATGTGAAATCATCTACACTAAGCTGAAAAACAAAGAGAGTAGGTTGGTGAGAAGGAGCCATGGCATTTCATTTAGGTAGACTTGTACTCAGCATTGGTGAGAGAAAGGAATTGATGTCACATACCCTATCTTGCAGAAACAAGACAAGGTTTCTGGAGTTCTGGGTAAAAAGAGATTGCAAGAGTACTGTCAGCTCCTGTGCTGAGACAACGTGCCCTTCATGCATAGCAGTGTCTGGATTCCACTGTGATCTGCAAAAGAATAATTTTTTTTCTGTAAAATTTCCTACCAATGATGATACCTCTTCTTTCTTTAAATATGCAGCAGCAGATAACGATATCCTCATTTTTAGATTAAGTTTACAGTTCAGTTTACTTTCATTCTACTCAACTGAAAAATAACTTGCCCATTTATTCCTGTATCTAACTGATTTTGTTAAAGCATGAATGAATTTCATCCAACAGGGTAATATCTTTCTCTATTTTCTTGTTTGTGTGCAACAGCACAGTTGCATCTTTCCAAAAAAAGTTAGTTACTAAGTGGAATGAAGAAGAACATGTTGAAAACCTTCAGAGAGAATTCTCAGAGGCAATCTGAACTCCCAAAACACTTGCCAGCAGGTATGTTGCTGGTCAAGAGGAGTAGAACTCAGACTAGACTGTAAGTTGTCATAAACTAGTACTTTTTAATAAAAGCTTTTGTTATGTAGAAATGTCTCTTCAGTGTTATTGTAAACATGTTCTCTCCTAAGGTTCTCATGATGAAGGAACCATTCTGCAGAAGCTGCTCAGAAAAGCCACCTTTCCAGCAGCAGAAGCTCTTCTGAACGGAATGGTTCAAGACACCAAGAAAAGCTCACAATTCTTTTGCCACTTTGCTAGTTGGGAAAAGAGACCAACCTCCACCTGCCTACAACCTCCTATCAGGTAGTTGTAGAGAGCGATAAGGTCTCTCATCAGCCCCCTTTTCTCCAGGATAAACAACCCCAGCTCCGTCAGCCAGTCCTCATAAGACTTGTGCTCCAGCCTCTTCACCGTTTTTGTTGCCCAGTCAGTATGTTTTCCTGGCTGATTTACTGTGAATTGCAGGGTGAAACGGAGATATGTGACTGCCACAGATTGTGGATACACTGATGGTGTGCCTTACTGAATGCAATCAACCAGTCCATCTCTTTGAACTCTTCACCTCAAGTGATCAGCAAGAGATCAGTAAGCAACGACATGGGGTGAAACGGGCAGTTGGCCAACACACATATTGACTGCTATTATTGATTGCTCACACAAAATTTTATGTCCCAATATGCAACAGCCTTGTGCAGTCACCCACATGGCAGGTGCATCAGACTCACCACCACAGAACCATCCAGGGGTCCTCAGCCGTGGAGGCTCACCATGACAAGCATCTTTGCTAATGTATGTGCTTTCCTGCACATAAGTTTAAGGAAACTTAAAACAAAGCATTAATTTTTCTATATAAGCATAGCATAAATGAAGGCAGTAATATATTTTCAATTACTATAGGCAAAAATCATTCCCAAAACAAACACATGAGGGCGCAATTGCAAGACCTAATTTTAATGAATTTATTTCCTCAAACTCCCTCTCTTATCTATGGAGGGAGAGAAATTCTTTTGAATATTGGTTCAAAATGGCTAAATCAAATTTCTTCTGTCTATCATATGCAATAAGAATTTCTCAACCTCTCCTGCTTTGAAAAGCAACCAGGGAATATTAGTTTAAAGGCCAATGTTAGATAAAGGAAAATTTTTCATGCCAAAGTTATTCGGAGAATATCCAGTGATATATTAGTATTTCTTTGTGAAAAGTACAACATTGTGACCTACTGAGTTATTCCCAAGTTGAATGGAGAAAGATTGTTGTTTTTTAAAAATCACTTTTCTCAAAGTAGAGATCTGCATTTTTCTTTATAGAGGAAAGAGGTATTTGATTTACTAATGTCTCTGTAAGGACTGATATCACACTTCCCTTATGCTTTGTGCACTACATGTGTTTGTCAGCTGCAGGTTTCATCTCTAGCATTATCTTTAATAACATGATTATAGTACAATAATAATGCATAAGACAGACTTTGAAGTGTTACATTTCATAATACAGCTGGGATATGGCTTTAAAAACTCTGACTATTTCTAAATAAGAACAAAATGTAGTATTCTTCAACTATTCAATATCAAATCCTAACAAATAACATGGCAAAGGGTGATGGAATAGATCAGTGAATCTCAACTTCTATTGATCAATGAAGCACTAAGCTTTTAAACCGGTGGGACATGTTCCTACAAAGTAAATAGAAATCCATTGATAATTGCTGCACTTCTGTAGTTAACTTTCCTAAAATTCTTAATAGTGGTTTCCAGATTTCGTGGGCCTGTAGATCACGCACTGCAAACCTTGCATCACTGCAAAGTACCAAGATGTAAAGCACAGAGTCAAGGGTTAGCAACCAAAAGTTGCTGTTAGAGTTAATTTATTTTAGAAATAAATAAATATATAAACCTTCTTTTCATTTGCTTCATTGACCTTCACTAGAACTAATTTCAGCTCCACAAGAACTTCTCCTTTCAAAATGCAAATGTCGTGTCAGGAGGAAGATTTCTTCCAGAAAATTTTCTATTTCTGAAAACATGAAACTGGCTTAACCAGTCCACTATCCTGATTTTCTTACTCTAGATTTGTATAAACCAGAACAATCTGCAGTAGAACAAGCCCATAATTGCATCTTGATGGAAAGTTTGCTTTTATGACCATGAGGGATTAACTGATAAGACTTTTTGTTTATATTGACAATAGGTGTGTTGCTTATATAAACTAGGAAGTAGGACAAAGGAAGCACTGATCTTTTCTTAAATGCTTAGGATCACTTTTATGCTAAGAACAGCTCTTTCCAATACTTACTTGGTTTTTAAATACAAAGGTTTATTACCCGTACATATGCCCATCTTATATAGGGGTGAATCACTAAGTATTTTGAATATCAAAAAACCCCTTGATGTTGAGATATCCATTTATTTTCTTCAGGAAAAAAAAAGTCAAAGCTACCAAATCAAACTTTTTCAAAATTTTTAGATTTCTATATGCAGTGGTCCCCGTAGAGAACAGAGTTTCAGGTTTTGGAAATGCAGAATAGATGAGTAGACATATGTCAAAGGCAGTAAATAAGTGGCCCATAGTCTTCTGACAACTTTACATACCCAGTATCGACCTGAACTTGCCCAAGTTGCCATATTTCTGGAAATCCCTAGAAATCACACAAAATCCTTAAAGTCTGCATGAATAAAATTCCTGGTTGGAAAGAGAGGGTTCTATATCTGGTTCTTTTAAGACAGGTTCAGTCTTATTTCATAAATTATACGCAACCCCCTTAATTTCATGTGTCTCTTTGGATCTGTCAAGACTCTGCAGTTGTTTCTAACAACTGGTACATATACGTTCAGCAGTGTATTTAAAAACCTTCATTAAAAAGAACATTGAAGTGAAAAGTCAGGGTTCAGGAGTTAGGAAATGCAAGGACTAAGGTTGCCTACACGGTTTTTGGTCAGCTCCTTTTTGTGACACTGCCTTATGGCGTGACTTTGAGTCACGATGTCTCCAACAGTCATGAGACAGACATCTCAAGGATGCCTTAGGGTGAATAAAGCACATCTACTTCAGATTTTTAGACTATGGATTTTATTTACTTCTTTCTGCCTGGTTTAGAACACTAAAATTATTAAAAAAAATGGGTAAAATGATCTATTGGGTTGTTTGATGGCCAAGAGGCAGATTTATTTATTGGAAAATTTTATTGCCATGAGCTGATTTACCAGAATCGATGCTACACAATATATAATTCTGCGCGCGCACACACAGAGCAATAATAGCATAAGCAGGAATACATTCTATTAGATTTCTTACCTCTGAGTTGACCAAAGCAGCATCGGCACATGGTCCACTGACAGAGACATTTTGAACAGCATAGCAAGGGTGCACAGCAGCGGGGCTGGAGCAGTAGAGTAGAGCTGTGCCATGGCTCCAGGCGAGTGCACACGGAACTGGCCAGCCACAAAAGAAAAGTCCGAGCGTGTGCACAGCTGCACTTCCCGGTTGGGTTGCTGTTATCCAGATTCAGCCGGGCTGCTGGGTGACGCAGCTCTCTAACAGCAGGGGGAATTTTCAAAACATGAACTTCCTTCACTTGAACTTGGGAGTTACACATATTTTTAATACTCTTGGGTTTGGGATTTAAGCAGCTCATAAAATTCTCTGCAGTAAAAGCATAGACTGTTTCCTCTAGTGCAAGGGAGAGTCATGAAGTCCAAACTCCTGTCCTACACAGGCTGATAAGAGAGTTGTGCAACTTCAAAATGGAGTTTATAGAAAGTTTTCTCCACTGCACAGAATGTATCCTGCAGAACTTCTATCTTCTTCCCCTGTTACATATTATCATGTCTCTCAGCTTAGTTCTTTCACATGTATTGAGAGCTGGTGTCACACGTTTGGGTGTTGACAGGTTTGAAATCTGCAACAAATCTACCCATTGCAGATTCCAGCAAGAAGCAGGAGAGAGAGAAAATGTTCAGAGTGTATCCACTTAAATATGGAATTGTTAAGCTATCTTTTGCATGGAGGATGCTATCCCAGAAATCAAAAATACCTAAGTCAGGGGCAAATTATAATCACTTCAGAAGCTGACATGACTTCAGTATTTCACAAGTCTCATGCATGATCAAAATAGTCACGGAGAATTCCTTCATGTCAGGAAGCAAATTCCTCTGGCACACATTTTTGTGCCTGCCAAACACTGAGCTGTTTCTACACCCCGTGACTAGATTAGGCAGCAGCAGTCTTGACACATGTTAGGCACTTGGGCACTTCACCATCAGAACAGGATGTTAGAGACCATACGCAAAAGAAATTCTGAGGTTTGTTAAAACAAGTTGTGATAAGGGAAAAATAAGGAACCACAATGAAAATTGTACAAGAACTCACAAACAGGTATCAGAAGATATGCACGTCTGGATCTGAGCACACATAACTGGATCACTTAAATCCACTTACCTTAGCCCAAAGCATACTGTTATAGTAAGGTTGTTTAATATAAAGCAATTTGTTCATCAATTCAATCTGAAATCAAATTTCTGGGACAAAAACAAAAATTTTGAGGGAAGCAATAAACCAAACTTCTACATGTTCCTTTTCTTTTCCATATTGATAACACAAATTTTAGCTCTTTAACTGCACTTTTCCCTCTTTTTCCTCCTCCGAGATACATTAGAAATCCTACCTCTTCCCTTTAACAAGCTAGTGTTTTTTCCCAAGAGTCACACCATGTGACTGAATCATCTAAACAATTCTTGAACTCTGTCAGGCTTGGTACTATGACTACTTCCTTCCACTGAGAGCCTGTTCCAGTACCCAACCACCCTCTGGGGGAAGGACCTCTTTCTAATATCCAACCTAAACCTCCCCTGACACAACTTCAGGCCATTCCCTCAGGTCCTGTCACTGGTGACCACAGAGAAGAGAGCAGTGCCTGCCCCTCCTCTTCCCCTCACAAGGAAGTTGTGACTGCAATGAGGTCCCCCCTTGATCTCCTCCAGGCTGAACAGACCAAGTGACCTCACCCACTCCTCATACAGCTTCCCCTCAAGGCCCTTCACCATCTTCGTTGCCCTCCTTTGGACACTCTCTAATAGCTTAATATCTTTCTTATACTGCAGAGACCAAAACTGTGAACTGGGTTTGTACAAAACATTTCTGGACAACAAGTAGAAGAACAAGACCATGTGGTTTCTACCCTGCTTCCTGTTCCTCCCCAATACCATGGCAACACAAACCACAGGACCTCCATCCAATTTCTGTATATGCTCTAATCATTGTGTGCCTCATCATCACACACTGAACTTTGGATTTTCTTCACTGTTTTATTCTTCCAACATGCACAGTTGGTGGGTATACTTTCCATATTCTACCTTATAAAAACAGTCTTAAAACTTGTTGAAACAAAACTTGATTGTTTACTCTCAGATTACCACATTACTTACGAACAAACTTTTAACCAAAACCAAACTGACTTCCTTTTTAGTATTTCTCCACAAACCACAGTTGAGGAACAACTGAAGTGAATAAAGCTTTGAAAAAAAACAATGAAGAGAACCTATTGAGTGGGATTTTAATTTGCCTCCCTTGGTAAATTTAGCTCACGAATTGTATCTGCTTATATTTTCTCCTTTTTTTTTCACTCCTAAAGGGTTTTTTTGGCTAAACAATAAGAAAAAATATACCTATTGCAAGGATATTTTAAAAAATATTACTTTCATTCATTTAATTGTAATTAGATGAGATCACAGTGGTTCTTTTATCTGTGAGCGGGAAACTAAACCCACTTTTGACTACTGTAAAAAATCTGGGTTCAAAAAGAAGCGTGAATGATGAAGGTAAATCCTCTAAGCCAGACTATAAGGGGTGACTGTTGTAACAAGGACAATTGACAGTACAAGATAAGCCAGGAGAACTGTGCATACACAGGTGACAAAAGTAAATCCCATCCATTTTGCATGCAAATTTGATCCTTAAGCAATAGATTTGGGAGCTAACGTGATACTGCAGTAGTATATTAAAGAACTTCTGGTGAGACCACATCTGGAGTACTGTGTCCAGTTCTGGGCCCCTCAGTTCAGGAAGGATATTGAGGTCCTGGAGCAGGTCCAGAGAAGAGCAACGAGGCTGGTGAAGGGACTGGAGCACAAGTCCTGGGACTGTTCAGCCTGGAGAACGGGAGGCTCAGTGGAGACCTCATCGCTCTCTACAACTACCTGAAAGGAGGTTGTAGCCAGGTGGGGGTTGGTCTCTTCTCCCAGACAACCATCAGTAAGACAAGAGGGCATGGTCTTAAGCTCTGCCAGGGGAGGTTTAGGTCAGATATTAGTAAGAAATTCTTTACAGAGAGAGTAATCAGGCATTGGAATGGGCTGCCCAGGGAAGTGGTGGATTCTCCATCCCTAGAGGTTTTTAAGATGAGACTGATATGGCACTTAGTACCATGGTCGAGTAACCATGGTGGTAATGGATCAAAGGTTGGACTTGATGATCTCAGAGGTCCCTTCCAACCCAGTTGATTCTATGATTCTATGATTCTTCTCTCAGCTCAGATAATACACATATTCAAATTTAGGCTCTTTAAAAAATAAATAATATTTAAAAGAATTCAAGATTTGGATGATTTTTTGTTTTTAATCTCAGTTACTATTAGTATAATTTCCTATTGAAAAAGTATTTTCTATATGCCAAATAGAAGTCGGTAACTTTGTGTTACCCTGACATATTTAATTTATAATCCTGTTTTATCACTGTTTACAATAATTTTATTATCTAAGAAGGCAACTAATATTTTGTTCATTAGGACATCTTTTTAGGGCAAGGAGCTAGGGGAAACAATTACTCTGAGTTCTTCTTCCTTTGAGACATAAATAGGGAGATTTACATCCTGGAAAAAGCATGGATTTTCCTCTTGGAGTGGGAAGGCAAAATGCATGTGTTTCCTTGTAAATTACCATATTACTCACTTGTGCATGTGGGAAGACAGCTAGAATTTTTCCCTCTGAAAATGAATTGCCAGTGGTGTTGGAGGTGGGTTGAAGGCAAATTTTGCTCCATGTTCCAAAACTCTTGCTCGCAAGAGTCCTGTGAGGAAAGCAGTAGGTGTTGATGGGCCTCATGTCTCTGCTAGTGCAGAAGGAGCAATACAGCCCTTATGGACCAATCCCCTTTACCTGGGAGTGAGAGTCTTTATCCGGGAAAGAACTGAATCAAACACAGCATCTCTCACCAGCCTTTCAGGAGAGTTTCAGGAGTGTGAATTCCTCCTGAGCTTAACCTCTGAGCTGTGATTTAAGAGACTTAATAAGCTTATCACTTCAGCCACTTATCAGAAGTGAATGGAGAAGGTTAGAATTTCACCTCACAGTCTATTCTCCTTTGAAGAGGCACTGACACTTTACAGTCATTTGTTCTCATTATCCTGGAAGTATCTATGCTCCAAAGCAGAGGCCTTATTACCAGCACATCCTAAAACCATCTTGTGAGTAAATCCCTGAAAATCAAGCAAAGATGATCAGTTTGCTTGTAAAGAATTTAATCAGTTCTATTAGAAATTGTCAGGTCTGACCTTTTATCTGAATAGTTTTGTTTTCCTGATAAAATGCAATGACTACTCCTAAAACTCTAGTATCTTTACTCTTCCTCTGATCTTTTCAGTCAGTTTTCCCAGTATTCTCCATTGTCTGATACAGAGAACACTAATTCTTCATACTTCTCCAGTACCATTTTAATATCATATATAAGCTACATAAACGGGGGAAGCAATTCAGTAACTATGGGAGAAAAAAAAATTAATTCCTTTTCAAATGCAATACAATTATAAATGCTATGGACAAAAAGTGGTAAAAAAATCATTGGTTTTAAATACAGTAACAATATCAATAAAGCATTTATAATGATCCAAATTAAAAATTAAAGACAACTAAGATGAAAGATTTTATAGTGATTTCAAGTATTATACATTTTTTAAAAAGCTATACTGTTGTAGGGGCCTCTGGTGGTCTAGTGGTTAGAGTGTCTGACTCTCACCGCTGCGACCCAGGTTCGATTCCCGGCCCCCTGGGCAGGTGGAGCTCGTCAGCCGTGGAAGGCAATCCACCTAAGAGAAGGTCACTCTAAACAAACCTACATCCTGGGGACCTCACTGCCACTGTCCGAGCTTTGCTCGGCCCCGGCAGATGAACCTCAGGACTAAAGGGTGGGCTCAGTTCAGCGCACGCTGTGTCTCACCTAAAAATCCACTGCGCAGGCTGGAAGGGTTAATGACCTTTCCCAAATCTTCGCTCACGAAGACTGGCCATTATATATACTGTTGTAATTATGTTGGTTTTACTTGGCTTTGCCCTAGCAAGAGAACTCAGATATCCGAAGTATTGAAAATACTTTTCCATTTTGCAACAGTTCTCTTTCTATACATTGTATCCTCCATAACTTTCAATTTCTATGCTTTCAAAAGGCATTTTTCGAAACTGATTTGTAGGACGTTAGTATTCACTTTATACAGGCAGACACTTATTTTGCGGACAGCCATGTCCCAAATATTAGTCAAGTATCCAATTCACATAATTACAAACAAATTTTAACAATTTACACAAGAGCTTTTACAGTGTGATTAACTGCCATTGTTAGGAACTACCCAATGCTGGTGATGAATGGAGTTACATCCACTCGCTGGACAGTCACAAGTGGTGCTTCCCAAGCCTCAGCACTGTGGCCAGTTCTGTTTAATGTCTTTATTGATGATCTGGACGAGGAACTGAGGGCACCCTCAGTCAGTTTGCAGACAACACCAAGTTGGATGGGAGTGTTGATCTGCTGGAGGGTAGGAGGGCTCTGAAGACAGATTTGGACAGACTGGATCAATGGGCCAAGGCCAACTGCAGGAGAATTAACAAGACGTAGTGCCAGGTCCTGCACTTGGGTCACAACAACCCCCATGCAAAGCTACAGGCTTGGGGAAGAGTGGCTGGAAAGAAGCCCAGTGGAAAAAGACCTGAGTGTGCTGGTTGACAGTGGACTAAACATGAGCCAGCAGTGTGCCCAGGTGGCCAAGGCCAAAGCCATCCTGGCTTGTATCAGAAACAGTGCGGCCAGCAGGACTAGGGCTGTGATCGTTCACCTGTACTTGGTACTGATGAATGTTTCTCAGTATTAAACTGCACCTCGAATACAGTTCTGGGCCTCTGTAGTGGGTTTCTGTGGCTGGGCTTTGGTGGGGGGTGGTGGTGCTACAGGGGTGGCTTCTGTCAAAAGCTGCTAGAAGCTTCCCCTGTTCCATGGAGCCAATGCCAGCCAGCTCCAAGACAGACTTCCTGCTGCTGGCCAAGGCTGAGCCAATTAGGAGTGACAGTAACACCTCTGTGATAACATATTTAAGAACAGAAGGTTGTTGCACAGAAGAAATTCCAGCCAGGGAAGAGCAGAGTGAGAACATGGGAATAACAATGTAGACACCAAGGTCAGTGCAGAAGGAGGGGCAGGAGATGCTCCAGGTGCCAGAGCTGAGGCCCCTGCAGCCCGTGGTGCAGACCATGGTGGAGCAGCTGTGCCCCTGCAGCCCATGGGGGACCATCGGGGTGCAGAGACCCACCTGCAGCCCATGGAGGAGCCCATGTTGGAGCAGGTGGATGCATGAAGGAGGGTGTGACCCTGTGAGAAGCCCAGGATGGAGCAGGGTCCTGCTGGAGACTTGCAGCCCATGGAGAGGGAAGGCCATGCTGGAGCAGGTTTTTCCCAGGTAGGACCTCTGGCCCCTGTGGCGGACCCATGTCGGTACAGCTCATTCATGAAGGACTGCACCCCATGGAGGAATGACCCACGGGACAGCAGTTTGGGAAGAGCTGCGGCCCGAGAGATGGACTCACGCCAGAGGGGTCCATCAAGGACTGTCTCCCATGGGAGGGACCCCACAGGGGCAGGGGAAGGACTCCTCTCCCTGAGCAGCAGCAGAAACAACAACTGACCGTAACCCCCATTCCCCATCCCCCTGTACCGCTGGAGGGGAGGAGGGAGAACATGGAAGGAAGGAGGGGTGGGGGGAAGGTGTTTTTAAGACTGTTTCATTTCTCACTCTTTGGCTCTTATCCTGTTAGTAATAAATATAAGTACTATACTTTGAATCTGTTTTGCCCCTGAAGGTAATCAGTCACTGACCTCTCCCAGCTCTTATCTCTACTCATGAATTCTTAGCTGGCTTTTTTTTCTCTCCTCTGTCCAGTTGCAGAGGGAGAGTGAGAGAGCGGCTTTAGTGGGTACCTGGCATCTGGCCTCGGTCAACCCACTACAGCCCCTCACTGCAAGAAAGGGATTGAGGTGATGGAGCTTGTCCAGAGAAGGACAACAAAGCTAGTGAAAGGTCTGGGGGGACAAAAGGAAATGGCCTCAAGTTGCACCAGAGGATAGGTCGGGTAATAAGAAAAATTTCTTCACCAAAAGAATTGTCAAGCATTGGAACAGGTTGCCCAGGGAAGTGGTGGAGTCACAATCCCTGAAGATATTTAAAGATATTCTGCCTTACATACTTAAGACGAGAAAAATAAATTTAATACAGTGCTACAGTATTATTTTTCTAATTAAAGGGTGACAAAGAACTAACAGAATTCACCCAACAGGTATATTACACTATAGACAGAATGTTCCAAGCAACGCAGGCACTTACAGAAAAAGAATCATTGCTCTAAAAATTTAGAATTTACAAAGTTCATTATAAACATTTCATTTCTTAAATAATGAGGTTACAAAACTTGAAATGCAGTTATATTAACTGATCTAGATCAAATTATTTTATCCTCAAAAGTTTATTTTGATCATTGTAATATATTTAAAGTATTGATGAAAATGTGTATTTCTTTAAAACCTAAGAAATGGTATTAATTTAGTGAACTTCTTTAACTTCAGTAGACTTCATCGAAGAATTATGGGTTTTGTAGGAACTTGCATTAGCCTGATTGTCACTCCTATGCAAAAATGATGACATCGCTGGAATCTGAGCAAAGTAGTTTTTTGCCCGGATATGCTTCTGTTTTATTCTGAAAATAAATGCAGCTTCATAAGCCTGAAAGGAAAAATAAATTCAAATCTCATCAAATACAATTAAAATATCTAGAAATCTGTATGTTGCTTCACATTTTAGACAGTATAAATAGTGACCCTTTAATAAACTAAACCCGATAATTTATTTGTATATGATAAATAATGAATTATTTTGTAGTTCTATACTGCTATCTTATGGCCCAATAGTGACAATTACTAACCACTCCTTGTGAAATATTAATCACCTTTTAAAACCAGAACAACTTTTTTTATCAGTTCAAGATAAAATTTATTTATTTCTCTTTTTCAGGTAAGAACATTTGTACTTACATTTGAAAATTAAATAAGGCAATGCTTAAATATCAACATTTGCAAGGTGATGAGTATAGGGAAACTCTCTGATAAGAATCAAAGTCATTATCCACAAATAATCATGGCAGCAAGCATTTTGCGGCATTTCAGTCAGCGTTTGCATGCAGTGGTGACATTTTCCCAAATTTCTAGTGATTAGCAGTAGTTTGGATGATGTAATAAATCCAGAATATTTAGTTGAAAAAACTCTTTGCTATTGTAAAAGTCATCATGATCAATAACTGCTATTAATGAAAGTGCTTGAGAGGCCTAAATTTTTGTTTCAGTGAATGAGAAACAATGGTTTGACTTACAGCACTCTAAGTTTGCTTCAATTTCCTTATTTCACACTCTGTTGTTTTGGGTTTTATTTGAAACAAAGATTTGGTCATTACCAGTGAAGAAAGCTGACTCCTCACTATAGCTGGCACACTTCTGTTTTTGTAACAAGAGCTAAAGAAAATACCTTACGATTTTTAGGTAAGGCTGTGTACCTTACCTGCTGCTGTTCTGACCTAACTCCCACCTCCACTGAAGCTCTGGACCTAATCAAGTTAATGGCATCTCTTTGATTATGATATCCAGACTTGTGGCATTAAACTAGCTAAGTGCTTAATCAGCATCTCTGCCTGCCATAATGCCAGTAACAGAAATTTATGGATGCTGAGGAACATTGATAGATTCAAACTGTCTGAACAGCCTTATTGTCTCAAAGTGAGACAGAGGAGGCAATAAAGGAATTTTCAGCTTCAAATTGGTTTTACCTTCTAAAGCTAAAGCTCACATAAACGTGTCTGCTTGAAGACACAAGTTGGGCACACACACACTCAAAATACCATGGATGGCAGAATTCCCTTTACCTTTAGAATTCCCTAACTGATATATTTCATCCATAAAGCAACTCATTAAGAGAGCAATTAACTTGCTCTGTCAGTTTAGTTATCACATCCTCTTAAGACTTCCAAAAAGAAGGGCAATGCATAACAGCTGAAGCTGCGTTTCTGATGCACACATATTGCGTTAGAAATTGAAGAACACCCTGAACAAAAGGACACTAGGCAACAATGACCACAGATCTCTATATACATAAATCAATAACCTAGAGGTGAAAGCCTTAATAATCCATTGCTAACTGCAGGACAAACACAGCTCACAGGATTCTCCCATGCCTTATAAAACTAAATACTCTTAACATATATTTTCAATGGAGTGAGATACTTAAGGGACTACCATGTTTAGACATGGAATTTGCTGTAAAAATACAGTTTTGATGATGACTAACACATTCTAACACATTGAGTTTTTTTAACTCAAAAGAGAAACTATGCTTTTATTGCCTAATTGCAAACTGTAAGATTGCATTGTCAGGGGTACTGAAGTGACATCTATGTAAGAAAGTAAACTGAGATCAATTTTATGACAACAAATGGTTAAGTTCTAGAAAAAGAGCCATTCTGCTATTTGATGAGAAACTTATAAGGCCAGAAACTAAAGAGGCCAGAGCATGTGCAAGAGCTCAGGCACACAACTGTCATAGTATTTATGGTTAGTCTTTATGCTTTTCATCCAGGCCAGCTGTTGTCTGATCTCATCTGAGGAAAGAGCATATGTACGGCACTGTCCTCAGTAGGCAGCATGGATGAAACCACTTCTTGCATTACAGGAGGGAGAATCAGGGCAAGACAGAGTTCATGTGCATGGAGTGAGTGGTGCCTGCCAGATGCCTTCTGGATTGATGTCCATTTTGTTTAATAGTACAGATGTAATCACTTAAATAGTCACAATGAGCCAATCTAAACATGGGCAACTGTAATTACTAAATTTGGTCCAACTAATTAGTCACAAGATTCTATTAAAACATAACATAAATAACATAAAAAATCAAGCCCATCAAGTTTTACCTCCTGAAGATTACACAGCTTAAGATGTGCATCTGCCTCTTCTTTAGTGAGGAGAATAGTGTTCCATGGAGACCACTCATGCTGCTTATCCCATCTGACCATAACCAAATCATACAGTTCACCCCAGGCACTGAGAGCTGACTGACAGTTCCATATATTCTCAATCATGTACTGCAGATCTGTAAGCTGAAAGGAAAAAGAGGGTTAAGAAGGAAGAAGCATGTTTCATCTAGATATACACATCTACTTTTAGAATGGTGTAGCAACTAACAACTGCATTTTTCTCGTATCATCTCTAAATCATGCTGCACTGCAAAATGAATGAAGCAGTCTCAGCTGCTGCAAAAGAGTTTTAGCTGTGCCCAATTCATTTCTAGGTGCCCCAGAGCTGTTCTGGATATAAGTGCAGAAGGGGATGGGGTTGTTGGGAGGGGAAGGGGAAAAAAGGCAAGTAGCTCAGAAGAAAATCTAATAATTTAAGAAAATGTTAGGAAAAAACCTAGGAAATCAGTGATTTCAGTTACAAACCTCTGTTGTTTAGATACTTACAATTCTAGAGAAAATAAGTTAATTTGGAAGAAAATTACACAGTATCTAGAGATGTTGCAATGGTACAGTCACAAATGGAACTGCAAGTGAGGGCTTATGGTCTCAGCAGTTAAGAAGCAGTCATGTTTCAGTGCATCAATACCCACCAGCCATCACAAGTGACGTGAGAGATCTTGAAGGATGTTTACATATTAAGATGAACTAAATTAGACAGAGACAAAAAACTCTTCAGCTTTGGTGAAAACCAGTATGGACGAACAACATCTACGAAATCCAGGTTTTTTTGAGACTATTTCTTAACTCAGGCATGATAATTAAGAAATTCCAAGCTTCCTTTTGGCAGCACATTGGCAAAGTGCTAAACCACAGCATGGTTTTTTTTGGTAGCAGTGGGATATTGATGACTGGCTTTTGATTGCTTGGTTGTTCTTTTGAACATACTGAAAATATAGTTCAAAGATTATTCTATGGATGTTGATACTGTAGAGATTTTTATTGCTAAATCTCAGAAAGTTCAAATAAATCTTGGCTGTTCCATATTTTTAATACTTTGCAAATATCTAATATTCAAAACTTTCTCAGTGCATATTGGATGTCAAATTCATTTGCTGACCTAATAACAACTAAAATAGAGATTTTGCTGAAGATAGATGCAAGAATTTTTTTTTAAATGGACCTGTTCCAGTAATGATTACTACATATTGAAAGATATTACAGAAGATGGTAAAAAATGCAGAAAATTAAAATATTTACTGAAGCCATCCCCTAATGAAAGCACACAGCAAAACTTCCAACTACACAGATATTCTACTGACAAAGAACAGGAATGTCAAAACCTAAGTTCCTTTACTTTTTTTTCCAACAATTCAGTTGTGTTACTAAAACAATCCAAATTATTGGGCTCAGGAAGTGCAATTCAGCTTTCAACTATGCTTCAAGAGCTTAAGGGCTGCTTCTTTATGGTATGGAACATCCCATACCACAGGAAGAAGTTGTAGCTTTTAGCCTATTTCTCAAACTGTCAACAACATACACCAAATAAAGGACAAATAGTCAAAGCCACTGTTTTCCATTATTAGCAATGCTCTTTCCAACAGTACCTGAACTAAGAAAACAATTTGACTATCATCCTGATAACCAGCTTCAGACTTCCTGAGATTTTCTAGAATAAGTCTGTACTTCAAATATGATTCTCTTCGCCGAGCCTCATTATCAAGATTGTAACACAAGCGACATCTGCCAATGGTGTGGGAATTAGCAGGAATCAGAAACTCAGTAGATGGTAAGTAATTTTCACAGCTATGACAGAAGTACACATTTTTATAAAGCTTTAAAGGATCTTGCGGAACCTAAAAATTAAAAAAAAAAAAAAAAAGTTAATTTACCACAAAGTATCTTTGTATTACTTGTGTGTCACAGTCTGTCAGAATACATTTTGCATATCTTCATGCAAGTATTCTAATATGTAGCAGCTAGTCATATTTAGTTTTGAAAATACCCAACAAGGTGTTGTGATTTTTCCTTAGATAGGATACCAAAAGCCACTGTGTTTTCTTATTGTACATGTTAAAATCGGTTATATAAATCAGTCAATTCGTTTTTAAGCTATATGAAGATCCTAAACATCACGCTCCAGTGTTCTTGCTGGTGCTTTTATGTATGCAGATTGCCAGCCATTCTGGAAAGATGACAACACAGAAAAACAGAAACTACATTTTCTGCATTTAATTTTTCATGTACAATCTGCCTTTTATGTCAAAGATAAAACCCTGAGATTATGGGCATATTAATATTTTGGCATAAGAATACAAAATCATCAGAGCCACATGTCCTAAAACAACATAGGGGAAGATAATAAACTAAACTTGTTAGTGATCTCCTCATTGTCATATTCCTCATGGGTTCTGGAAAGAATATAATGTAGTCTGTGAAGAGGGACCAAGCCTGTAAATGGACAGCCTAAGTAGTCTGATAATCTTCAGTCTCTGCTATAACACACGTAGATAGCCCTGCTAATAAACCTAGCCTAAAAATAACTGTTAGTTGGTTCTAAATTCTGACTAACGTTTACTGACAGATTCTATGCTCCTATCATGGTATCTATGATACCATCAACCTCTGCACAAAGAATCCTCTTCTGAGAGGTGCAGAACAGGTGTTGCTACATAAAGCAGCAACATATGATAGTGAATCATATTTTTCATTGTAATCTGCAGTCATAAAAGAAAAACAATCACACAAATCTAGTTACATCTTCTCACACAGTAGCAACTGATTGTACTACAGAAGCCCTTAGGAGTTCTTGCTTAGGTGCAAGTCATTAGATGTCACTTTGATGATGGCTATGTTCCTCCCTCCTGGAAGCATGGGCTGATGCCCCTTGACCAGCAGAAGAAACATGAATTGCTCTATCTATTGGTACCCCTTTGATATTACATTTTACCCATACCATCCCATAACATCTACCATTCATAACTTTCAGGTTTGTTATTTCAGACACAAGAGTTCCTGAGCCTTCCCAGTAGTAGCAGCCACTTGTCAGGTTCTTATAACCGTGTCCATGCCCCATGCTTCCGGTATGACTAAGCTTATTTGTGTGAAGCCTATGTACTTGCTATATTTTAGTTCTTGAGGAATTCCTCCACCAATTCCACAGCAAAATGTGAAATAAAAAAGCTTTTGATGTTTTCCATTCCCCTTCTCCTTATTTTAATGGCCACTATGTCAGACTGCAAAATAGGGATAATACCTTAAGTAACCCAGCAACTTTAGGGTTAACCTTTGGAATTTTAATATACTGAAGAAATAATGTACAAATTCTTTTCCTCAGTCCTTCTAAGTTGCATTCTTTCACCTCTCTTGATATAAGATCAATTTCCCTGTCAATTAGTTCCACTATTTCCTGTGTTAATTTACATTCATGTTCCTGAAAAAAAAACACAAAAAGGAAAACAAATTTCACAATAATAAAGAAGCAAGCAAACAAACAAAATAATTCAATGCATATATGAAAGCAAACTGTGGATTCTATGCCCATTACTATTCATACCTCTGTATGTTAATGCAAGAACATGTTCACAGAAGAACCCATTCATGTCTCAGGGAAACAATCTCCAATCAAACTAATATGAAGAACTACAAAAGCAAGAATGCTTACAGATGCTGTTTTAAGAGGCCTGTATATATATACCAAAGCTGTAAGGAACTGTAAGCATGGAGGCACTAAAAAATGCTTAGCAGAGATATACAATACATGCAAAATTTTTAGTCTCCAAAAGCCCAAAGAAGTATCTCCCTAAGAAGCTTTTTTTTATGTGCTTGGAGGTGTAACGAAGATGGTTTAAAAAAAAAAAAAAAAGCCACAGGAAAAAAAAAATCCACCACACGAAAGGCATGGGGGACTTTGAGAGGATGCCTGGAAATTACTTATTTTAATATTTCAAATGCTTGTCAGGAGATTCTTCAGAGAGAGATAAGAGGTAAATGAGTTCAGTTTTTCTCAGGTAGAAGAAAGTGCTAATTTACAGAAATTCACTTGTTCACTACAGCAATATTGACTTGTATTAAGGCGGGCAAGGGTTCATAAAACAGCAGTGCTCCCAATGCCATATTGACTTTAGATTAAATACTGGCACTACTAAAGCAAACAGCAAGATGTTTGCTTGTTTTAATAATACCAGGAAGCAGCATTCTATTCTAGTCTGCTGTCAATGGCATCATCCTAAAAGGACCTTAAAACTCATTCTCTTTGCATGTGAATAAATGAATAAAACAAATATGAAAGATTACAAGAAATGCAATCAACTTCTAATTCATTTGGAACACTGGCAGCACCAGTGAGGGTGGGGGACGAGGGGCAAAGAAAAAAGACAAAAATCAGTATTTGCCACCCCTAAAACTGATAATCCAAACCAACAGAGATAAAGTTCTAAACAGACATTTCAAAAAACTTAGAAAAAATAAATGGCAATAGCCACATACATTTCTGCCACGATTCTCATAAGGTTGCTATAAACAATTAAACTAAACTTTGTACTAAAATTGTATTATGTATTAATATACCAAAAAGTCTAAAACCACAGGGTTAAAATTCTAACAGACTTGAAGAAAAATGTGCACATAGCAAAGTGAAATATAAATTCTGAGTATATCTGGAATGTAAATTATGCTCTCATGCCAGACAGTACACTAGGGTCTCTTGCTGCCAGCTAATCATCATGGCACCCTTGTGCAGCAACATAATTAAGTGACAGTATCCTTGGGAAGCACAGCTTCAAGCTAAACATAAACAAAAAAATAAAACATACCTTCACTGTACATCTGAGTGTTAACAGCACATCTGTTCTCTCATCTTTTGGGATGTCCTTCGTGCTAATGCTGCGGTAGATTTCAAGTAGTTCTCTGGCACGGAGCATGTCCTGTGTATCCATTTCAGTGATTTTTCCATCATATGCTTTCCATCTCTTAGGTTGTGCACACTTCAGAAACAATTAGTAGAATACTGAGCTATTACAATCTGACCACCAGGTGAACAAGTGCATTATGTTACATCAAGTTTCATCAGAGCAAATAGGACTTAACCTTAATGCTTGATTAGTGCAAAAGGCTAATTGATACAGTACCTCTGCCACCAGAGCAAGCATTCAATTGCACACTTTATTTGAAGCTGCAGGCCATGAAAATTTCGACTTACAGTATATTAGAAGTAAATAATATTCTTCTACAGGGATATGCTCTACCTCTTTAAAATGAATTTACTGACAGTAGTGTTAGAATATGTTTGCTCTTATACTTCCCCTGGCAGTTATGAATCCCTCCAAACTATCAGTAAAAATCAATGGGTCGGTTGACTGTGTAAAGATTGCAAATTTAAGACCTTAGAGTCTACCGCAGTACAAAATATCTCCAGGGAACTGTTCTATTTATGCTAGTTGCAGAGACAGATAGAAGACATAGACTTTGTTAAAGCTAAGACAAGGTATGAGTTTACAGCTTATCAGACACTTCACCTAGATTCTTGTTTCTGAATGTAACCACATGCCATTTACCTTATGCTTCAATTACCTCTTCGCACATCTTTAACTTTTAGAGACAGTGAGAAGTTACATGATGTCAGCTGCCCCAATTTGTTTGAAAAGTCCAACCATTCTCCTCTTTCCAGAAGACTGGGTTTGGTTGCAAATCACACTGTATCCATACTGTATGGAGACAGGTATCCAATTCCAACAGAAAAAGAGTTCTCAAAACCCTCGCCCCATCGTTACCTAATTCCATTTCTTTTCCTTAATTGGGACAGGTATTTGAAACCTCATTCTGTGTATTAATTATTCTCTTTCACTATATTTGGAACTTGAATGTTCACAAACACTCATGAACTTCACCTTGCAGTCTCAGTGTGAGTTAACAACAGCAACACTTCATGAAGCGTTCACATGACTAGTAGTTTTCTGGATATGACCCCAGCATTGATGTAATCATTAGTTTGATCACATAGGTTTGCTATGGTGCTAAATCATAAAAACACCATAAATATTAGATAGTTAGAACAGATATGATTAGTCATCACCACAATCAAAATAGACTTTTCCTCATTTTGAAATTAATAAATTATAAAGTTAGGCAAGCAAATGAAAGACAAAATAATTGAAAAAAGGATTTAACACTGAATAACTGACAAATAATTATTTTATCAGTGGGGGTAGAACTCTAGTTAAAGGGGGTATTGCTAATCAGAGGTCACAGTTTAGAGCCAAAACTGACTAAGAAATGCAATAGCAAAACCAGACATTAAAAAGAAAAAACAAAGCAACTCTTAATTCCTTAATGAAATCTTTGAATTTCTGCAAAACTAGAGAGATGCGATTTTCTCTCTGTCATAAGTAGGGAGCATTCTACTGTAACTTTATTACTTTGTTTCACTGTCTTTGTGCAGTGCTAGAAATTCTTTAAAAGAAAAAACCCATCCCACACATAGCCAAGCAAACAAGAAAACTCCAACCAACTTAGCTCTATCATGCTGTCACTCCTTTGTATGCTGGACTGGGAAAAAACCACTGCTTTCCACATAGCAGTTAATTCAGTATCTACATTTAAACCTCTTCAATGAAATCACTTATAGTAAGAGAAAAAGGTCATTTCCTTATGTTAGGGACAATCTAGGGTAGAGTTTACCCTAGAAAATAGTTCCTAGGACTAGATTCTTCTGATAAATTTGCAAGCCCAAATATATGTAAGCAGTCTTGGTCTCCCACTCTGCAAATGATCTTTAACACAGACCAATTATATTATGATAATTAATTCTTCGAAGATATATCTGTAACTTCTGTAATTTTTCTTACTATCTCATTATAGCTGGGTATTATATAAAATAAAATCTATAAAAAAATATGCAGGTTTTTACTGAAAAAAACCCCAGAGGTCTCATTAATATGAAGATTTCCTATGTTTCAGAAGGAATCACAAGGTCTCTGATTTCAGGACTATTTTTCTGTACTAAGAGTGACGCAAGAAAAACTAAAACTTTGAGATCTGCCAGCTTTTTCTTGTCTTAGTCTGCTGGCAGTGCTGTGAAATTTGCAATAATTCTGTTATCCGTATTACTTTAGAAAGCAAGGCTATTATAACTGTACTCTGCTGCCAATGCATGAAAGCAGAAAAAGTGCCTGAGGAGAGAAACGCACCACCAGAGACACAGAGAGAAAAAGGTAAGTAAAATAAAAAGAATCCACAGAATGTGTGTAGAAACAGCACAAGGCATGAAGGGTATGAACTGAGCGATAGTTAATAATTACACAAATCCCTTTAAGGAAATATGATTGCTGTACAAAAGCTTAATCAAATACTTTCTCTTCAAAGTACAAATCCTGAAGCAGAATGAGCTCAGCATAAAAGCGAAGCCCCTAGAATGTAGTGCACACACAACCAGTAGCAACCTTTGTAAAAGCACACACGCCTGCAGAGATACATGCTTAAAGGAGCAAAGAAGGGAACAAAGGTTTCCATGGAGAAGCAAGTTTCATATCACCTTGGCTATTGCAGCTTGCAGTCTTCAGATGTGAAAGGTGTTATTTCAGTTTTAAACTGGCAAGTGTCCAGATTAACATTATCAGCAAAAAAATCAAAGAAATAACTGAATAGTCCACAATCTAGCACTCCAACAATAAACTTCATACTGCAATTTAAAGTGCTTCAATTGTACTTTCATAGACATAGCAAATGAGCCATTTAATTTTGAGATTTCCAAAATTGTATTTTTTTTTCAAAGCAGAAATTATTTTTTCTACTTCTGAGTTAGGCTGCTATCTAGCAGTTTAGAACAACACTGTCATCCTATAGCCGACATGATAAAAAAACATGAAAAGTTGTAGTAGTTCAGAAGCTCATTAGATTTTCAAAATAAAAAAAAATACAGTCTCTTTAATGAAAAACATAATTTTTAAATTTTAAATATGAATAAATAAATTAGTAGTGCTTCAGAAATACGTCCATTGTATGGAAAGAGGGAGCATCTCTTGTCTCTGATGTGTCTCCTGAACCTCCAAACATCAACTGTCACTAAGGATTCTGGTACTGAAAAACATTTTGATTCTGATTCTACATGTGAGAAAACTGTACAACTTGTCAGAATATATACTAGAAGTAAACTGTATATGGTAGGACATTGGAAAGCAGTCCTTAAGGGAAAAATAATGACAGAGAGTCAGTTAAGAGAGAAACGTATTTGCTTTGACTGTTTCAGGCTTCTTTTTCTTTGAAGAAAACAGAATATATTGTAAGTAGTAGAAACAAGGCTTTGATATCATTCCTAACTATTTACTTTTCTGGGCTTTTTTTCATTCTTGAAAGCAGTAATACAGAATACAATCACACCACAGCAATAAACTTGGTAACATCCCATCAACTTTTCAGATAAGCAATTTGTTCATAATTAAAAATGTAACAGATTTTATCACATCACTTTTTACAGTATGATTCCCTGGCATCAGTAATGAAAAGAATGAAAAAAGTTTCTTTTGGATAAAATTATTACTTTCACTTTTGGTCACTAAATAGTCAAAATTTAAAAAAAAAAATCAGATAAAACCCATTTCAGTTGCAGTATTTATTTTCATAATCACGTCACAATACTATGGAAACAGATAGAAAATAAACTATTGTTTTCTGAGGAAATGGATTGCTGAACATCTACCTTAAAAGGACTGGGGTTTTTGTATTTTACATTAAGGTGCCATTGAATCTAATGCCATACTAAACCACTTTGTGACTAAAGGAATTCCTATATTTGTTTTATAGAGTAAAGCCTGAAGAACACTTGCCTCACATATCATACCCAAGATAAGATAAGAACAAAATCTCAAGTTCTAATGGAACAGAAACTAGTGAATTAATAACTGAATTCAATATAAGAATTAGTCAAAGTTCTTCTTTGTACATGAAAACAGAATAAATGTTTTCTTTAAAGGCAGACATCATGACCAGAGGCCTGTGTTCAATTGGGAAATTAATGGGAAATTTACTTCCCGAGGGATAAAATTTCCAAGGAAAGAAGAAAAAAAATATATTAATCCATTTTGCAGGGTTAAAATTTAATTTTACAAGTACTTACTAAAACATTTGCATTTAATTTTAAATGAAATAGAAAACTTTTCATTATAGAGAGCAATGAACAGAACATATCAGTGAGAAAAATACTTGGTCATTACTTTTGATTAGTGAAACTGAATATTTTTGAAAGAGAAACTAATAGGTTTCCTTCTGCACTATAATGCACACAGTACAGAATATTGAATGGTATGTAAGATCCTGATGGTTTTTAACTTCAAATTAACCATACTGAATTGTTAGGCTTTGAGCCTTTAATGCTATTAGCAGTACCATCAGAATCATGTTCTTTATGCAGAATAGTTACATAATATAAAATACATCCATTCAAGGCTATAGTTTTATATTTATTATTTACATCTTTTATGGGTAACAGTTTTAATGATGCACTGTTAATCCCTCAATCAGTCAGAGAGCTACAAAATTCTCAGCTTGGAAAAAGAAATTTACTGAATTGTACTGACATGAATAATTTGGATATTTGTAACATTAGCATTCACATGATTAACCATCAAAACGTACAAAAAGCATCAAAACTTTTGGTGCTTTGCAGGTGTATTTTCTGTTCTTGTACTTTGGTATTCTTTATGTTCAGCCTAAAATTATCAGCCTAATGACAGACCTTATCCAGAAGGTGCAGTATTGCTTTGTGTTGATTCTCCTCATTGGCATTTAGTTTGTGTCTCCCAAAGCAAGCAATGAGCTGTGCCTCTTGTTCCAGAAGTGCACAAAGTGCTGCCTTTCTTTCAGCTCCAGTAAGAGTTCTGTTAATCCGCTCAGTCTCCTCCTGCATCCATACTGCAGACACAAATATTCTAGGTATTTGTTACAAGATACTTTCCAGTGAAACTTCGGTTTTCACATTTAAGAAATAACTGATTTTTTTTTAATATTCACTAAAAGCCAGTTTCTATGCTAGGTAATTGATTCTTATGCATATTTTCAATACATGTAAAAATGGCCCAGAAATGATTGTAAATTATACAGATGTTCTGTGAGAGTATGTATGTGTACATCAATTCCAGACTGCCAATTCCAAACTCAAGGACGGGTAGGAGAAAAAGAAGCTCTATGTGAAAAAAGGAATTTAGCTCCTGTGGAAATCTGTGATGTAATGATTGCTTCAGATTTTGCATCTAAAAATAACTGTTTAAGACTCAAACAGCTCCAAAAGGTATGAGCAATATGAACTTTTTAAACAATTTCTCATCAAAATCACAAGTAAAGGTACTATGGAGATCTCAACAAATTAAAGACTGTATCCTACTATGGCACCAGTAGTACTCAGTGCTGAGAATATTCCTGCTTCTCCCTGCATAAATGAGTAAAATCTAAAGAAGCTTAAAGTCCTTCAAAACTGAGATAAAACTTGACTGACAGTCACATTTAGCACTCCAGGTCTTACACCGAATATTGCAGTGGTATCACCTTTTGCCATCCAATGGATGCGCAATAACTATTAGACAGTCATGGCTTTACTCTCCCTTTCCTCTTCTACAACATAACCCTTCAAGTGTGGCGAGAAGTGGCATGGGAGCCACAGGATGGTCATGACAGCAGCACACAGATCAGTACATGCTGTAGAGGAATCTGGCCTTCTGACACTTATGCTGCTGATACACAGACAACACAGCCTTAGAGAAATCTGTTAGTAAAACCAAACCGGGTTTACTGAATAGAGTCTACCTTTGCTTATGTTGTAACAATTCTTGGCTTCTCTGAAGAGCCTGATCCTGTTCAAATATCTCTGGAGTTTTGTGAGGAATTTTCTAAAATCTAAAACATCAACATTTCTGAATAATATCTCAAAGGGTCGCTATCATCCCAGAACAGTTATGCAAAAGCAAAATGTGGCATAAAATGAAACAAACCAACATGTGGTGCACTGAAGAAGCCTACAACATCCTGGATCGGGTAAGATTAGAGGCAGGATGAGGGAAAGGAGGAAGGCTTATTTTCTGCCTGTGCCTTTCTTGTCTACAATACCTTACATTTTCCAATTTTAAATATTTCAAATCATTTCCTTTAGGCTCTCCAAGTTGTGGTATTAATATGACAGCTGTCTGACAAGTTCTGAGAATGCAAGAATATATTTTTAAATAAAGCCATTTGAGCAAGCAAAAGTATTATATAGAATTAATTTACATGAAGCTTTTTATGCCTGAAGGGGGTAGAAACCTCTAAGGTAGAGGTAATAATACAGTAAGCAATTTTATACTTTCAGAAATGAAGGCTCTCAGTTATCATCGATACTCAGCTCGTGATTCCACACATACATGCAACCAAGTTAAAATATTCCTCTTAGATTACGTGTTCTACAGGTAGAGATTTTACTCATTACATTTTACTTATTATTCCAGTTTTTATAAAACAAAGTAGTTCATACTTTTAAAATAATGAATGCCCATATGCAGACAAACTGAATATATAGATACATCTCATTTGCACCATACAGTCATCAGGCAAGTTTTTGTACCACCAGGAATTGCTTGTACTGGCTGACCCTGTAACAGTACACCTGCTGTGATCAGCGGCAACAACCTTCACAGATCCCTGGAGGACAACAGTCTCATTCTATTACCGTCACAATGATCTAGCTTGTGTAGACCGTTGGCACTATAAGAACATAAAAGCAGTTTCAAATGCAGGTAGGAAAAAAATCCCAACCTCCTAGAACCATTAAGCTCTATTAAAATGAAGAGCATGACTGCAAATCTCCATGTAGAGAAGCAACTAGTCAACGCCAGTAAACAAAAACAAAACAATAAGATTGATACCAGACCATTACTTTTAACAAAATGTTAAAAAGACATTTCAAATACTGGAGTTTGCTCTGTTCTGTTTTGAAGTGGGACATGTTTTTTTCAGGTTGCCTAGATATGAAATTCCTGAGTATGCATTGGTGAAAGTTTTATTATTTGAGAATCCAAAGGCACTACATTAAGCAAGAGACACTTATATAACCGTAAGTTTCAAATCTAAAAATTTTGTGAGTATTAGCACTCTTCCATAACTTTAAATCAGCTTTGCTCTTTTTATTACAAATAAAACACTTCACACTTAAAAAAAAAAAAAAGTGGATCATACATCTGATAGCACATTAGCTACAAAGCAGCTTTTCAAAGAAAATATTACAGGAAATTAGATGCCAAATATTAAGTCTTGGTATAAGTGGTACGAAAAAGACTATTATTTGAGTAACTTGTCTTTTGACTATCTAGTCAGTCACACCTTTAAAAGGGCATGATTCTTGTGAAGTGAAAAGCTAACTATCTACAAAGAAAAAGGAGGGGGGGGAACAACCCCAAACAAGACACAAATCTCATTCCTACAATTCTAAAGTTCAAGACAAGCAGTAACTTTTACATTTGTCACAAACAGTGATATTTATAAGTCATTTATTCATTCAGACAAAGCAATTTGTTCAATGCCACACAAAGTATGACAGCATTAAAAGATTAGTGTATAACTTGGGAATTTTTGGATCGTGATCTTAAGCTCTATGAATAACACATGCTATCAAATTTATGCTCAGTGTAACACTGAAGAAATAGCTGAGATGGTTTAAGGTAGGGTAGGTGGCTTTGCAATGAAGTAGGTAATCAATTCTGCTACAGGGACAACAGTAACCAAACTGTCAAAGAGCTAGACCATAAGCAAGCACTGTAGCCTAGATAATATGAGTTGTTACAAGTCACAGTGCAAGACTCTTGCTTTATAAGAGACAATGTAAAAACCAAAAATTTTGCCATTTCATTATAGGTACAAGTCTACTGCTTTAGATTGTTTTTATTTTTCCAAAAGGAGATACTCTCAATTTTTTGTTCCATTTGCAACACTAGTTTCCTGTAAGGCTTTATATCAATTATCTGCAGCATTCACATTATTTTTCTCTGGAAAAGTTTAGAGGTACTTGCCTGTATTAGACATCTACTACAGGAACAGGAAAAAATATGACTTTTAGGATGTCCTGTAGGACTCCTAAGAGATCTTTAAAATTTTGACAACACAGTTTTGTGAAATGTGGAATGAATTAGAGAGGAGAAAAAGCATCAGTAGAAGATGACTAGGACAAAAGGAATAACTTCTGACATGTATTGTAAAATTCTGTGCAAAAATTTAATCCATTATAAAAACTGTCTATATCAAATGATGAATTATGGACCTTAATACTAATTTCTTCATGGAATTGTTTTTAGCATCTTAAACGTAGAGTAAAAAACCAATGAAGTCTGATCTAAAAAAACAACTTTTTTTCCTCCAGCTGACCTTAGCATTAGACATAAATTAAAAAAAATTAATAAAACTGCCAAATAGCACTATTCTACAAGCTGATTATTTCCTAAAAAGTTGTACTGGTTTTGGCTGGAATAGAGTTAATTTTCTTCATAGTAGCTTGTAAGGTGCTATGCTCTGGTTGTTAATAACACAAGGATGTTTAATTATTGCTGAACAGTACTTACACAGCATCAAGGCCTTTTTTATGTTTCTAGTAAAATATGAAAATAAAATAATTATTTTAAAATTAAAGAAATTTCACTGTAAGTAGAAAAAACATCAAGGAAATATCTATAGAACATGTAAAAACATAAGTTTGCTGTAAACAAACTGTACTATTTTGCTGATTTAATGGTATCTCTTTAAGACAACTTACATTCCAAGTCATGGTACAGTAGCTCAAAGTCTTCCCTTGTTTTAGGGTTCAGTTTTCGCTCGTACTCCCTTCTCAATTTTTCTTCTTTCTCATTTTTTTTCCGTAATTCTTCCTGTGCCTCCCACAGCAGCCTTAACCTCTTCTGTTCCCTCAGATTTTGTACTACATTTATAGCATGCCAACGACGGAAATATTTCTGTAATACTATTACCTATATGTGATACAATACCAAAGAATCGTGAATTTAAAACAAAGCAGCATAGTATTTTGTTCTTAACTGTTCTTTTTTTTGTAGATGCCTAACTATATTTTCTAAGATTTGTCTTGTACTGAAACTAATATAAATGTTACTAAATCAGTCATGTACTACTAGTTTAAGCACCAGCATGCTTATTCATTTAGGTACCTGCCAGAGTCTAACCAGTGAATACAGTGGATAAACTAGGTTCATAAAATCAAGTCAAAATATAAACTACATTTAAATATCCATTTTTCTTTTTCAAATCTCCCCTTAAAAAATGTTTTTTTGTCATGTATTGCTTTTATTTTTTTCTCTTCCTCATCTTACTATCAATTTACACAGTGGGAATGTAGACACATATTTGCAAAGTTTCTTTTAGATTCCTAGATACAAAAAATCAACACACACACAAATAAAATCAACTGCATTTTATTTGTAAACAAATAATGAAAGTGAAATTACTAATGCTGTTATGACAAAACTTAAGAAAGAAAATTGAATCATCTACCTTCCCAAGCTGTGGGTATTGAAGACTAGGGAAATGTCTACACTATGTCAAGGGAGGATAATGCACAAGCCTCACCCTCTGCCAGCTGAGTTAGCACTTGCACTACAGTCAGTTTAGTCAGATCAATACCATGAGCATAGCATGAAAGCTAACAGGCACAAAATTATACTAATGCAGTTACACTGTCTCTAGTGATATCTTAACCTAACACTTCTCTTGAATATGTCTTCAGATTTCAATATGGACCTACATTGCACTGTGCAAATCCATCAACTTGAACCAACACCAAGTTGATGTCTCTCTACTGTGCATTATAAATTACTTGAGAGATACATTCCAGATTTCAGTAAGTCTCACTTAAGATCACAGTAAGACATATTGGCAGTCCTGAGGAAATGGTTACCTATTTGAGTTCTACAAGATGCTTATTTGCCATCAGCTGATGCTGACTGATTCAAGAAGTTCTTACAGAAAACTTCTACCCAGAATATTTCAAAGATCTTGTTCAATACAATTATCAATACAACTATCCTACTTAGACACTTGGGGAATCAACTGTTAGTCCATTCAGTTAGATTCAGACTGCCTATTTTAAGCAATCAAATAAATAACTAGAGCATTTACAAAGCAGTGTCACACCTAGCACAATTTAGAGTGTACCTGAGTTACATGTGCAGTCACTGAACACATGGTTTCCAAAAAGCAATTCAGAATGCCTAAATGGCATCCTCTGCACAATGAATATACAGAATCTGTAATCAGAATCACCTGCACGAGGCACCTCAGCGCACTAGAAAACCCCATAGACCCACTGCATGTATTTGAACAGCCCAGTTCTACCTTAATGTCAAAGAAGGGACCTTGAACAGAATCCAAAATGGATCAGTTTGTCCAAGGTAACCTACCAAGACTGTTAAACAAACAAACAAACAGAGAACACCAAACCCAAAAGCTAGATGCAGATCTCCTAAATCCTAACCCAATACTCCATTCATTTCAGGCCATACATTAACAAGTACCTTAGGTTCTTCCAAAGAGATCATGAGAATATTGTAGGGATATGCCTGTTTAATCCCTAATATTCTACATGGAAACTTAACTGTCAGTGTAATACAGAAAACAATAAATTCAGAATTCTTAATATTTAAGAAGTCACAAGGTGTCAAATGTCACTAAAACCACTGAGCAAACACAGGCTTTCCCCATATCTAAAATATTTCAAAACATGAAGATGAGACATTTTACAGTTGACTTCACAATCTTTGAACACTCTAAATACTCTTTAAATATTCAGATAACCTTTGTAATACATTGCTTTACAGATAGTTTCAAACAGATAAGGACTTACTGCTTCAAGTCTACGTTTATGATATTCTTCCGCTGTAAAATACTTTCCAGGACTTATTAGTTTGTCAGTCATGTTTGACACATAAAGGCCAATTTTAGTCATCTGTGTTGATGTTGTATTTCTTGTTTGTTGTGGCTTATTTTTTTCCCAAACCGTCTGGGGAAAAAATGCATGTCAGATTATAAGAAAATACACAGACATTTTTTGCCTCATTACAAAAAGTGGTAAAATTAGCTTTTTTAATAGGAATCACAACACTAATATTTATCCACTAAATACTTCCATTTGCATGCTTATTTCTGATCTGCTTCCTCTTTCCTATCAGAAATAGTGTCAAAACCAACATTCTAAAAAGAAAATACAAAACCATTACCTGTGTTTCCCTACAAAATGACTGAGTTCCTTTGTTAGGTCGTTTTTTGCATCTTGTTTGTGATCCTGCGTTATGAAATTCCACTCCTGTTCTCATGTTCCTAAATCCACCCAGAAAAGGTTTATTATAGGTAGGTCTTTCAATTTTTACAACTACTTCTTGGAATGAATCAGAATCTGTTAAAACGGAAGTTCCAAAATAGAAATACTGTTTCTTTTAGTAACACATTGAGATTAGAGCAGAATTTATACATCGATACATGTGCAAAACCAGCATTTACCTGTTTGTACTCTGACAGTTATGACATCAGGCATGTGGTAATCCTGTTGAACGACTTTCCCAGTAAAATGTTCCTGATTCTCAGACTGCATAGTTTTCTCAAAGTTAGGCCCAGTCCTTCTAATTGTTTCATTATCCTCAGTCATGCTTTCTAAAAATAAAACCAAAATTAATTCCTGATCAGCTTCTCAAAACAAACACGTAAAATCACTCCTAGTTTACCCCAGGATGATTTTATTGAAACACCACAACACAGAATAATCATAGTTTTTTGAGCTGGAAAGACAGTCTACTTGAAAGCTGAAGCAGTATTATCATACAATTTTAAAAGAGATAAATAATGTAATGCTATCACCACATAAAGTCATTCCAAGCCAACTATTCAGAACGACAGCATCTGAATGTAGCCCAGACAAGAAGAAGACAGTCAACAGGCCCATACTAAGCAAGATTATTCACTGTGCTCACCTGCTGAACAGAATGTGCTGCCTTCTGCTCTGAAGAACTAAGAAAATGGGGTGCTGAATTGGGAAGAGGAAGTGACAAAAGACATCCAGAACACAGAGGAACAGGTGCAGGAAATGACAGAGCATTTAGGGGACTGCAGAAGAAAGGCATGGATAACAGAAGAGTGGCAGGTAAGTTATAGAGGAATCTGAGAGGTAAAATAGTAAGTGATTGCTATGATCTAGTTTAAACTGTTTAAATGCATGTACAAAACGTGTAAACACGTACACGTTTCTGGAAATAAGGATCATTCTATAAAATGCCATCTATAAATAAATTGCTACTGTAGCTTGATATAAAGAATACTCTCCTTACCTTTGGAGTATGTTTTATATGAGAATTTAAAAAGTCACTTCAGGGCCAAAACCCAGCAAATATGAACAGAATGAGGGTAGGGGGGTGCAAGAAGCCATAATCAAATTGAAGAAAAAATATCTCTTTAAAGGCCTAATGCCCAACATTTTAATAACTTCTTTACCTGTTACTGTCCCACTTGCTGTATTCTCTGGTAGTGCTGAGTTTTGAGAAGTTTGTTCTTCCCTCCGCACTTCTTCAGGTTGCTCCCACTGTGCTAAACTTGACTGCTCCTGTTCCTCCAAAATTGACTGCTCCTGAGGAGGCATCTGATCGCAGCCCTCCTCTGACTGTACAGGGCCTGAAGATTCTGGAAGCAGAGGCTTCTCTGCTGCATCCCCATTCTCGGCCTCTCCGACTGCATTTCCCTGTGAGGATGCAGGTGGTTGCTCTGCACCTGAGCCTTCTGGTGGAACTTCAAAGCAACTATCACTCGCATCTTCCATTTCCTAAAGAATTGGTTGCACAGTTTAACCTTTCTGCAAGAATAATCACAGGATCTATTAAAAATTAGATACTAGCCCATTTCTATTACCAGGTTTACGGGTAACTTAATATCCTGAAAAACTTTTACTGTATGTGTTCCCAAAGAGCCTATTGAGAACAGCATTAGGTTTGCTTCCACCAAACAAAAAGCGCTTCTGGCAGGTGTTTATCAAACGTAATACTCCGCGGCAGGTAGTCAGCACAGTTCGTTGTGTTTATCTCTCGCTCTCTACCTATATAACAGGACTGTCCAGGGGGGCATTACCCAGAGACAGCACACCTCTAAGGTTTTCCGAGCTGCCACTGAAATGACACAGGCCGGAAGAATCCTAAACCCATATTCTTGGAAAACAAAAACAAAAACAAAAAACAAAAAAACCAACCAAAAAAACCCCGGCACCAACGGGGACGCAGCTCCCGGCAGGAGCTGTCGGGTGATGCCCAACCAACCGCCCGGGCGGCCCTTGGCCCGGGGCGCTGCGGCCGCCGCTCGGCGCACGGGTACTCCCACAAACCCTCCCGACCCCGCTCCCGCCACTGCCCCCCGGCCTCGCAGGACATCCCGCGGCCCCGCAGCACCTCCAGCCCCGGCGGCGCCCCGGGCGGGCGCGGCTCCCGCGGCGGCGGCGCGGTATCCACAGCAACCCGCGCACAGGAGCCTGCGCACAGCGGGGCGGGCCCGGCCCGTGCCGATCGCACACGGCCCGGGGAAGAGGGTGCCGGAAAGAGAGGGAAAGGGAAGCGGTGCCCGGCGGCCCCGCAGCACCTGCGGCAGCCCGCGCTGGTGGCTGGGAGCGGCTCCAGTGCCGACACACCCACACAGGGGCCGTGGCTGCGCTGTGACCGAGGGAGGGCAGGGTGGTGATGAGCTCTTACCAGCCTATAGCAGCATTAATGTTTGAAAACACGCTTTTTCCTTGCAGCTTATACTGTAGAGAGTAGCAGAAGTTGTACTGACCCCCAGAACTGTTTCCTGGATATCATGAAAGGTTGTATTTGAATATTCCCAGCCCTTCCACTACACCATCACTTCCCAGCAGCATGTGGCAGCACCTACCTGTGAGATGGGTTCAGCCTAAGAGTGGTGTTCTACCCTGGAAGGTCTGTGGTGTGAGGACTAAGTCTCTTAACTGGAAATTAAAGACACTTAAACCAGAATCAAAACAATATGAAACTGAATTTCCTAGTGTTTGAGGTGCCATTTCTGACACAACTCTTGCAAATGTTTCAGCATGCTACAGGAAAACTGAGGGGACACAGTCACTTCACACAACTGTTTCAGAGGTGAAATATACAGTTCTGTGTTGCAATTCTGGGAGAATCCTGAAAAAAGGTATTTCAGCAGGCATTGATGTTATATCCATACTCAATACCATGATCACTGTTACCTTGTGTCACATTGTTAGGCACCTGAACATGGGCCTGCTTCCCATCAAAAGGACTACTGAGATCTCATTACTACTGCCTAATTGTCTTTTTTCTAAAACTTGAACTCAGGCTAGAATAGGATTAGCATTAATCCTATAGAAAGATACTGTCATTTCTGTCACTTTTTCCCTATTAAATAGTCGACTGTGTTAAACATTCAACCTCATTTTCAAGCTGCAATGATTTTTCATTTTTTCTAATGAAGTATCATGTAAGCTGTAAATAATAAAATAAGCTGTAAATAATAAAATAAACTTTTTAAAAAGCAGCTTTCACTCATCTTCCTTTGAACATTGTCAGAAATTATGCCAAAGATTAACATGGTGTCACCTTCAGAACACAGCCACTCAGGATAGGTTAAGCAGCACAGATGGCAGGTTAGGAATGACAGAAACATCAGTACTGCTGCTACCTGGCAATGGGAAAGTTGTTTTTCTGGTTTAACAGGCTCTGTCTCTATAAGGTCCGATCCTTGCATATAAGGTGATTTTTCACTCACATGATGACTTCAATTAGATGATCTCAAAGTGTTTTAAAGATCTAAAGTTTGTTAACTCTAGAGCTTGCAGTGTTTCACCTTACCACATTACAACAGATAAAAATCTTTTGCATCATCGTGTATTTCCAACAGTTAAAGGAGAAAAATCAAGCAAAATCATTAGTCAGTCTTCAAATTAGGCCTTGCTAGCATATTCATCTTGGAATAAATCAGGGTCTGTATTGAGGACGTATACGTGCATTTGTGAAAAGGAGAAGATGAGAGAGGACCTTTAGCAGTAAAACTGTTTTAAAAGACCAGATATCAAATTTCAGCAGCAGTGGGCCATGAAAAAAACTTCCTGAAGCAGAATTCATGAGCTTACACGAGAGCTGTTTTAAGTCACATGACAAATATGTCTTTAGAAGTAGAGAAAATAACTGAGCAAGAAAAAACTTCAGCGAATGTCTGAGTTATGAAAGAGTAAACAAAATTCCAGTAGTTGTCACCATATTTGGGCAACTTTCCTTCCTCCCCACCTCCATCATTTCATGACAATATCATTCATACTAGGCTTCGGGGGGTTTTTTATTTTGATTCCTCTCAGGTCAGCTCAATACTTATTACCTAAACCCATTTAATTTTCATTACTCATGTGACACCGTTCGCCCTCATTCAAGTCTGTAATCTTTTAATATTTCTCATGTGAAAATTGCGTTTGTTAACCTTAGCAAAGTCCTCTTCTGGAATGCCATCTAGTGGTTTTATCTGGAAGAGACCAGCTTCTACCTCTGCAAAGACTGAAAAAGCCTTCAAAATCAATGAAGGAAAAAAGTATTTTCCACTTTTTCAATTTTATAAATCTAAAAATTTCTGTAATTATAGTAATAATAGTTGGGGGAAAAAAACCCACAATAATAAAGAATGCGGTGAAAAAGTTGCTGCAGTCAATACCCTAGGAACACTGTTTTTCTCTTCTACTGACCTACTTCCCCAATACCAATTGCATAAAATCCTATATAAACATGTAATTAACCATTTATAATAATGATGTCAGGTAAAATTATAGGCCTAATGACTACGATAAAACTGCTATGATTAAATGCATTGTGTAAGTATTGCATATATATTTAATAAACTGCAGATTTTTATCATATCGCTATATTCTTATTTTTAAACTTGCAGGAACTTTACTAATGGTCCTTAAAAAAAACATGGCTAAAGGCAAACCTGCACAGTACCCTTAGCTCTAGTTTGCATATTTCAATTGGAGCTTATAAGCTTAAATCTCTAAACAAAAGCTTTCCAAAGAATCATAAAATATCCTGTGTTGAAAGGGACCCACAAGGATCACTGAAGTCCAACTCCAGGCAATCCCAAAGAACACACAGAAGTGGGGAAGCAAAAACCCTGAATTTTGATATAAACTGTATCAATCACTTTGCTTTAGTTACAGATTGGAGGTAGTGCATGTTTTATTAAAGGTTTCAGGGAGAACTCAATGGTATTCTGAAACTCAGTGTGAGCAGTTTGCTTACCAGTTATGGAAAAGAGGAGCTCAACAGCAGGACAAAGGAATTATAAAGAAAAATTTGTCCAGAATATGACAGAACGACAGCATCACAGACTGTGCTGAATTGGAAGGGACTCACAAGGATCATCGAGTCCAACTCCAGGTCCTGCACGGGACCATCCCCAAGAGTCACACCAGGTGCCTGAGAGTATTGTCCAAACACTTCTTGAACTCTGTCATGGTTGGTGCTGTGACCACTTCCCTGGGGAGCCTGTTCCAGTGCCCAGAACCTTCCAGTGTTCCAGAACCTCTTTCTAATATCCAACCTAAACCTCCCCGACACAACTTCAAGCCATTGCTTCGGGTCCTGTCACTGGTCACCACAGAGAAGAGAGCAGTGTCTGCCCCTCCTTCCCTCACAACGAAGTTGTAACTGCAATGAGGTCTCCCCTCAGTCTCCTCTTCTCCAGACTGAACAGACCAAGTGCCCTCAGCCGCTCCTCACAAGGCTTCCCCTCAAGGCCCTTCATCATCTTCAATGCCTTCCTTTGGACACTAACAGCTTAATAGCTTTTTTAGAAAGTTACAACACAGTTATTATAAAGAATTACTCCCTATGCAAAACTCACCCTTTAAATTAGCAACTAGGCATAAGAATAAGACTTAATAGGACAACTGGATCTTCAAATGAACATCATGTTCATCTCTACCAATTATTTAACCTGTCTTTTCACTGCTCTTTTTCTCCCACTGTCTCTATATCAAGCCCCTTAAAATAAGTTCTCTATTTTCTATAAATGTTTTTTTGCTTTATTAAGTGATCACACCAGCTGAGAAACACTGGGTAACGAATCCGCCTTTGCAGACGCCACTCCAGGGACGGGCTCCCTCCAGCGAGCACACCCGCGCACGCGCGCTGTTCCGGCCCCGCCCACCGGGGCCGCTCTTGCGCGTGCGCAGCCCCGCGCCCTCCGCCGCGTCCTCTGAGGGCCATGGCGGGGGCGCTGCGGAAGGTGAGGCGGTACGGGGGCCTCGGCCGCGTCCTGCCCCGGCTCCAGCGCGGGGTCTTCCTTTCTGGCGGGAGGGCAGGGGGTGCCCGAGCGGCGGGGTGAGAGCGAGGGGGGCACCCCGCGAGGGAAGGGCCGAGAGCAGCGCAGGCCCGGATGCCGGCGGGCCCGCGGTGTGGGGCGGCGGGGGCGCCGGCGCTGCCCCGGCAGCCGCTTGGTGAGGCGAGCTAGTCCCGCTCGGCACTCGCCCTCCCCGACCCTGGGGTCGCGGGACGCCCGGCTGGTGCCTCGGAATGGCCCCAGTCAGGTGTATGTGCAGTCAAAACAAAATGATCAGCGTGGAAATGGATGCTTAGGTATGCTAAGTATGTTTGTGCTCTCTGTGCAGACCACTGGACTTGTAGGATTGGCTGTAGTTGAAAACCCTCATGAGGTATGTCACGCGTCTTGTTCTGTCGCTAATGGAAGCTGTCAGCGAGATCTAAGGTTTTTGTAATGTATTTTGTAGGTAGGCTTTGTACCTTAAGCTGGCGCCAACTTAATGAAACAGTAAAAATTTTCCACAGCGATAAAGGAAGAAAATTAATTCTTAAAAATTTAATGCATATTATTATAAGTTATTTTACACATCTGCTTTTAGTAGCATGTGCTGATTTCAGAAACCTCCTTTATGTAACTACTTTTATCAATCAGTATTTGATATCTTTCACCTGCAATGCCAGAACAGCTCTTTAAATTCAGTTCTTCATAAGTCTTACATGATAGAGGGTGCAAAGCCACATCAAGGCCCTGTGATGACAAGCGCTGTTGAGACTGGAATACT